TATTTCTGAAATAATTGTGTCACTTTATATGACCATTTTTCTTCACTGGAATATATTTTGAATCATCAGCTTCTCTGTGCTTCCTGCCCAGCATATGGACAATTTCCCTATTTTAAGTATTTCTCTTCATGTCATGTTGTTTTGTCTTTCATTCTCCATTTGGAAGGACTGCAGTTGATTCCTGCAGTTCTCTGACAGCATCTGCTAGTCTAAGGAATTCAGGTATCTTAATTATCTTCATTTATTTTCTCATAGATTTAGTTTGTTTCTGATATCTGACAAACAAAGAACAGTCATGCTTTTAGATGAGTGTTTATATTCATTAAAAACTGGAAGTTATAAATGGTGCCCACACAGTTGAAAGTTTAGCTCAACAAAGCAAATAAATATTAAAATGCTCAAGTTCTGCAAGTCTAAATAAACAGAAAAGGGAAATAAAACTCAATCACAAAGAATGAAGTTTTCATTAAGAACCTCAATTAAAACATAAACATTTAATTTAAATGTATTTATCTTCCCATTTGGAAAACCTGTTGTTAAGTTTGGATGGTTTTGTTCTGTATAACAAAGTGAGATGCAAAATTAAAAAGAAACAAGAGGAATAAATTTTCTTACCTATTCAGGAGACTTCAAGATGTGTTTCTTTAAGAAAGTACCAACTTTTGCATAGACTAGAGGGAAATTTGGAAACCCTGGAAGCTGACATGCTGAGTGCATCATAACTGGTATTTAATAAAAGATTCTAGAGCCTATAACAAGTCCATAGAAGTAGAGACTTTTCCAGGGGAAGCAGCCAGTATGCTCCAGTTGTGCTCTGTAAGACCATAACTTTGCAGCCTAAAATGTACATCTTTATTAGAAAAAGCTGGAGTGGTAGAGGAAGGAGAAAGGGATTACCAATGAAGCAGATAAATTCAAGTAATCTTGTAAAATTTTGCTGTAGATAACACAAGTAATGTTTTGATCTCATTGTAATGAACAAAGGTGATCTTTGGGCCCCATGACACCCTGTATGCTATTTTGATTACCACAAAAATGGTATTGTATTTGCTGTTGTAGGTTTTTTACTACTAAATAGATAATGCAAAACCAAATACTTCTTGTGATCATACTAAGACCTGAGGGTGTAAAATGTGAGTTGCTTAGGTGTTTGAACTCTAAAAAACCTGAAACTACTGAATTTCTATACTCTCATATAGCTCAGTGTCAGACCGATTTTGTTCTGCAAGGTGTAAGTTGTAATTTGAGATACAGAACATAATCAGGTAGTTACAGAACTGAGTGATGTGGTGGTTTGGGAACCCAGAGCCCTTTTTTGGTGTGGGACACAAGGCCAGAAGGGAAAAAGAAGCTATACTGCTGACATTTTTCTATCAGCCCAGTGATTACAGAATACCTGGAGAGAAAGAGAGATCAAAATACAAACACCTTTACTGATTCAAACCAGTTTCTCTTGTTAATCAAGAAACTGTCCCTCTATGTTATAGCATACTGTGAACTGCATTGCTCACAGTTCTCTGTGTTACTGGTTCTGTTTTGTATTAAGATTATTAAAATAAAGTGAAGCAGGTTCTAGAACACAGTCACTGGAACTTGCTAGTGAGTTTTCTTAAGAAAATGCTGTAGAATGTCAGTTTTCTTTATCTCTGATTATTGAAATTATTTGACATGGACTGGAACTGCTCCAGGAAAAGGTACTGTTGGAAATCTTTTCCTCCAGGTGCCCCATAGCAGTCTCAGTCAATGATTCTTATCTGAGAAGACTGTTCAGAAACCTCATTTGAAAATCTTAGTAAGGGAACTGAAAGGTGAGTTCTTGTAGCTCCAAGGTAAATGTCTTTCCCTGTGAGGTACCCCTTTTCTTATGTAAATATTTAAAGTCTTTTATGAAAATGGGAACACCAGCAGGGAGACTCTGGAAATCCCTTTTGAGATTATGGAGCACTTGTCCAATGCTGCATCCTACTAGAGCAGATGTGTCATTTCCAATTTGCTTGGGCTCTGACTGAGCTTATCTCTTTTCTGTTCAACTTCACATTAAGAAACAGAAAAAGGCACCATCCTCACCTTTTTAAGATATTTTTTAAGTTGACTGGGGAAATATTTTTAGATAGTAGTTGTTTCTGTTGAAGAAAAAAATATTGGTTCATATTTGACTGGATTCCTTTGTGTTTGAATCAGCTGCTAATAGTTTCAAATTTAAGTGGAATGTCAGACTTCCCTGGTAATGTGATATGAAACGACAGACAACATCAGAGGACATGGCTCACAAAATGAGAAGAAAGCCTGATAAATCAAAGTTTAAAAAATTGAAATGAATGACAATCACAAATTAGTTACATTGTATGCATGCTGCCTACTAACCTTTAATGTGGAGCATGCTTAAGACACTGTTTGAGTTAACTTTTTATTAATAAAGGCACCTAGCTTGATGCAAAAAGAATATTGTTTTCATATATTTTGTTGGGAGAATTGTTAAAGTAGTGCTTTGCATTATTCTGATGTTTCTAACAGTCACACCACAGATGCACTTGGCCCTTTGCCTCTTGGATTATAGGCAAGACATAGAATGTTGTTGTTTGAAAGCTAAACTAAATCAGGCTGTTATGAATTGCTAAATGCAAGATCAAACCCATAATCCTCTTTGGACAACTGCTAGGAAAAGAAGGACAAAAAGAAAAAGCAGAACTCTGTACCATATTTTTCAGGCAGAACAGAATTTCTTGATTGTTTAAATCATATTCTTGCAGGCTGGCTGGTGAGTTTAAGAAGCTGTTATCTTGGGAATTAAGATAATGACACTTATCACTAGATGGGAAATGTTAGTATCAGGAACTGAAAGAAAACACTTTGATATTTCTCTACAGATTCTTACCACCACTTGACATAAAAGTCTTGGCTGAGACAACATAAAACTAACAACTATGTCTTGGAAGATAATAGATTGAGAAATACACCACAAAAGTTTTATGGAAGATTTGTTTTTCTGTGGTTGACTTAAGGAGTAAATGCAATCCTTTTGAAGCACTTTGTTTCTATCACAGGTACAACAACAGCAACAAAAAAAACCCAGCTTCAATGTAGACACAACCGTTTCCAATAACAGGTTCAGGTTTCTTAGGATGAGAACATTACCATAACATTTCTCTAAGCAGTGATTCATTTTGGGTGCATGTGCACTACACATATAGAAGGCTGATAATGCTTAAGAGAGCTGATAGGGATCCCTAACACAACACCAAAATTATTAACATTGGATTTTTTGATCAAAAGCATCTTCATATGATAATAATAGTTATATTTAAAGATAAATAAATTCTTTTCTTAACTTTTTTTGTGATTGGGATTAAAATTGTGAGTTGTTAGATGCTGGGGAGTAGCATAGTTTACTTTCATCAGTTCAAAAGGAAAGAAAGGAGGATGGGGGGAAGGTTATTTTATAGGGATGTTGTAGCAGAGATATTCTGCTTCTTTGTTTTTCTTTTTTTTTTTTTAAAGCTGAAGCATGATGAGATCTAATGTAGATGTCTTTGTGATGTTTCTAGATGTTTTAGGGATAACTCACCACTGAGAGGTGTGATTTAGCTGAATCCAGTGCAAATGTAAACTCAGTGATCAGGATGGAAGTTCTCAAAGGGAACACTCCTAAGCTCTCTTTGGGTTTCCAGTACATGGAGCTGGCAGTAACTCCTCAGAGCCTCAGCTATTGCAATTTACAGTTATTCTGAGCTTCTGCAGAGTGCACCAAGCAAAACTTTACTGGCCTAAGTGCACTCTGCATGTGCATGAGGATCTGTTCAGAGCACTAGGATGAGGTTTTGTCTATTGGAAAACCTCTGGTGAAATTTAATAAATTGAACCTGAGCATTTGTGTTCTATTATTGTTGCAGAGTCTGTAGAGGAAAATGAAAGGACAGCTGTGAATACAGTTACATGGAAAGAAGTTATGGAAAATACTATTATCTACTCTGTAAACTAAGGAGGAATTTATTCACCTAACCTTATGTGGATAAGCCATCTAATCCAAAAAGATCATCTGGGATCACTGAGTGAAATAGGAGAAATGGATCCACTGGGCAATTTATTCTCCCTGTGTCACTCATCTGACAGAATAGGGACAGTTACTCTCCAGATGTGCTCATCTGTCTTCAGAGACAATGGAATAGCCTTCACTGGTAGACTGGTTTTCATGGAATGCAAAGCAAAAGTACAAATAAATATTGGGAAAATTCTGGAAGTTTCTTGCAGATAACAAAGACCTTTCCACTTGCACTTTAGCCAAACATCTTTAGCCAATCTTCCTCCCTCAATTTGATACCTCTTCCTCTGGGCTTTTCAATAGAGACATGGAAGCAAGATCATTTTGTTCATTTTTGCAGGAATCTTTGTAACACTGCAGACTGTTTCCATGCTATGGCCTCTGTTTGACCTTATAATCTTTTCTGTGAGCTACAACTCTAGTTCAGTCACACTTAGACTGGACACAACACTCACACAGAGTCTTCACTGGAGCAGTGAGATTATTACTTTGTGTCACTTCCAGAATCGATTTTTTTCACAATTTGTGATAAGTGTATTGTTTTAAGAACTGCTTTTTGCATTCAGCAAGTGATATTCTTTTTCACTTGAGCTTTTCATGGAAGTATTTACAGGATCTCAGATAATTATTTGGCATATTTTGCAGGTTCTGAAAAAAATTCACAAAGGATGAGGACTTTTACCCTTTTACAGCATTATGCAATCTTTATTTGAAACTGGTTTTGCTATACTTCCTACTATTTTGGTTTTAAAAATGGAATTCATTGTCTAAAATAATAAATTCTTCTGCATTATATGCTAATACCCTATTTTTGTGAGAGATTCTCTATGTTTTAGGTTCTGAAGATAATTCCTAGAAAATGTTATCCATATCTAATGCCATCCTTAATCTCAGCATTCTTCTTAACAATATTTTATTTTGTTGTGGTTTTTTTCTTCTTATTCTTAATTTCTTTTTTTAGAGGGCAAAGGCAAAAAGAGAAATCCTCTTCATGACTTCAAAAAAACAGGAGAGTTGATGCTCATTAAAGTAAACAAAACACTGGAAGTAAAAACAAAGCTGTTAAATACTACAGAGCAATGTGCAAAGAGATGCAGCAGGAACAAGGGCCTTTCCTTCACTTGCAAGTAAGTTATGTATCTCTTTTGTTTGTTTTTTTCCCCAAGGAAATACATATACAAGCCTTTGATCAAAGGTCTCTCTGTAAATGTCATCAATGGTAGCTTGTACCGAGAACAACCTTAAGACTGTGATTTTTCATTTCAGTGACCTTGCTCTACCTGTCCAGAGAGTGTCAGTCTTTTCTGAGGCTTTATCTGAGTTGTCTGTCTTCTTAGCTTGTCCAATCTGTAATCTTTTCCATAACACAGCTGAAATGTACTCATGTTAAGATGCTGATGACTTGGGCTGCAATGTAGCATTAGGTGAACATTCTGAGATTTTTATGTCTCTTATAAAATGGTTATTGTCACACATCACAGCTGCAGTGTTTCAGCACCACTTCAGACCATATTCTGCCTTCATTCTTTGCACATTACTCCTGCTGAAATCAATGAGACCCTCACACATGGAGCACAGATACATGCCCTGCTGAAGTTCACTGGCAAGTGCTGCGAATCTGATACAGTGGAATCAAACCTGGGCTGTGGATAGCTATCCTCCAGCATCTGCTGTCTCTTAGAAACACATCATGCAGCTGATCACTTGTCTGCCTTGTACACACTCTCTATTATTTTTTGGAACAAATCACTATCATTTTTTTGATGTATTAGACTTACATGATCCCCCTGGCCTCTCTTAGTCTAGACCTTTAGTAATCAATGAAAGGCATTGCAGAAGATCTTGGAGAGAGTGGATGACTTGTGTACTGGTGAGTAGTGGGCTAAACGTGAGCCTGAACTTGAAACATAAAACAGTTTTGACAATTGGCACAAATGGAAACTGGATGAAATGTGACAACAAATATTTTTCCTTGGCAGAGAAGGTTCTCAACTGTCATTAAATTCTCCAGTAAACCTTTAATTTCATTGTTGCAAGATCTCGTTTGGATAATTCTGTACTCTGTTTATATGTGTAAATCATGAGCAGAGATAACTTTTTTCAGATAGAAAATATTTTCCAGGCACTGATACTTTTCACCTGGTACAAGCCACACCTTTCCCTATTGATAGGGCTTCCACTGATGTCATTGCCAAAAGGAACAGGTTATGTTCAATACAGCAAGACATCCTTGAGTTCTGATGAGCAGCAGCAAGAAGTATTGCAAAATTAAGTATCACAGTATAAAAAAAATCCTGAATAACTCCAAGAAAACAACAATTTTATATTCTAGCATGAGTTTAGGAAAACTGTCTCCAGCCACTTGTAGTTGCTCCAGATGCTATCTTTTGTGTTCTGAAAATAAAGAGCAAGTTAATATATGTGTCTAGTCTCTTTTATAATAAAATTAATTTAGAGTCTCTGAGAATTTTTAAAATGTTTTCATGTTTTGTAGCTTCTTTTTTTTTTACAAAGTGTCTGATGGATATCTTAGAGGGCAATTTCTCCCTTAATGAATCAATGCAACAACATAAAGGAGACACGAGGGACTTTGAGAGTACATCTTGGAAAAGCCCAGCTCAGAGATAACAGAGTGGCAATCTGTCATGCAATTACATTACACTGAATCTGGAGAAGAATTGCAGACCCTGATGACTTACTCTCTGAATTCCTGCTTTCCCTGGTGGGCTTTTAGCAGGGAAGGTGCTAAAAACCTGCTTTAGCAGGAGAGGTGTAGGTGATGAGGTCTTGCCTGTGCTACCATTGTGCACAGAGTGCATGGTATTTTCTCCACAGGGATTTCAGAACATTCTTGTGGTTTCTCTTTTGGCCCCATATGGATCCTTTTGCAGTGTGAACTATTCTTTGATGCTACAGTAAACACACATTTTGCATGTGTTCCCTTTTAAAGGATCCAGTGTTTACTAATGTTTCCCCTTTATTTCTAGGATCCCAGTCTTTAACTTCATACCAGTACATGGTTATTACAAGGTGAAATTTGTTGCCAACTTAAATGAAAACCAATTAGCTTCCTGCCTGCTGTGGGAGCATTCTAAAATAAGAAGTAACACAAAATGACATTTTAAATGCTTGAAATATGAGACTTGAAATTTCCTATGTTTATTGACATTTTCATGGCTTGATTCTTATACTCCACATCCATGCAGCAGTTCTTCATCACTTGGGTCACAGCACTGATGTTTTATTTTCTGTATGTAAGCTTTATGTAAGAATTAAAAATGGAATTGCTTTGTAACATAATTGTGACAGTACTACTGGGAGCAACAACATCTGTGCCTGTGCACTGTGAGGTACACAAGTAGGAACAGTGTTAAGTTTTTTTTTTTTTGCCAGAAACTGGTAAAACTAGCAGATTTCAGGCACTACAGTCTTGCAAAGGTTCAGGTACTCCTTATTTTCTGGAGGCGGGGGAAAATTAAGACAACTTTCTATTTCTTCATTATGAGTTTCTGTGTCACAAGCAAGTAAATTTTGAGTGTTTTATTGTTTAATCATTAATCCTTGATGGTTTTAACTCTAACACTTTTTTGTTGAAGCTAATATATGTAACTTTTGAGAACAGACACCTCCTCTATTCCCTTTGCTGTCATGCTTACACAGATATTGTTCATTTCCAGCTGAGTAACAAGATCCTTATCTAGACTTGTTTCTTTTTTATGACATTATTCCTAAAATCCTCCATCAAAGAACTCCTGAGATTCACTTACACTTACACACAGTTTTTGACTTCATAAATCTCTGAGCCTCTTTTTCTGCCTTCCCTATCAGTTTTATCAAGCTGCTTCTGAACTGTTCTATTCCTTTGTTTCACCATCCTCAGCAGTGAAACTCCCTCTGTTTTCCTACAGTCATCTTTGGGGTTTTTCCCAAAACAAACCCTATGGATGAAAAATATCACTACAGTTACTCTTTTATTTACTATACAGGTGACTTTTGCAGGTGTGTCCATTCCTTAGCTGTAAAGTTGTCACTGTCTTATCCTTTGGTATCTGCTTGGAATGCCTGTATTTACCCAGGAAGGGATTTCAGTATAGACAACAGAATTTCAGCACCTGCAAGAAAATCTACAGAATACCTCAGTACAAAGAGAAACCAAAAAAAAAATTGTTGTGATCGGCAGTATCAGTAGAAGAAAGTCCAAGAATTTGCTCAAATATGTTGACTTTGGAGGTACAAAAACCCTCCAGATTTGGGTCCAAGAAAAGATTGTTGCAAACTTTTATGTGCAGAACTGGTTGAAGCCAAACTGGAAAGAAACCAAAAGGCATCTGAAAGGCAAAAACTGGAAGAATAGTTTGTAAACAGTGCATTCTGCATTCCCACTTTAGGAGGGAGGAGCGGAAACGAGAACGTAATTGGAAAGGCAGGAAAGGTCAAGGATATTTTTGTGAGTGATGGAGTTAGAGGCACTTGGATATGCTCAAATTTGAGAATCAGCCAGAAGAGAACAGAAGGCTGCACAAGGGCAGAGGGATGAAGGTTAGCAGGTTGGAAACATTTGGAGTCAACAGAGTAGAGAGAGCAGTTGGATGAAAAATCTGTTTGGTGATGGAAACGATAATGAAGAAGATGTTTGAAAGAGAGAAGACTGGGGAGATTGGATAGGATCTTGTAGCATTTTTAACTGAAGCCAGTAAGATCTCATACAGAAAGCTTGTATGGTGAATTAAACGAAGATCAAGGAACTTTTTGTTAAAGGATGCAGTGCTGAAGAATATGGCATAGACAAAGTATGGATGAAGTGTAAGAAATCTGTGTGACTCTTGGATATTATCAAGTAGTGTTAAAATGCCTTCTCAGATCAGAATAAAATATCTTAGAAGGTATGGGATGAGTGACAAAAATGTAGATTTTATGGTAAGCTAGTTATTTGTTATTTGGTTCAAATGAAAAAATTAAGGAAAAAAGTTTCCCCCTCCAAGGCGGTCAATTGGAGTTTTAAAATCCTTTAAAGTATTTTACCTCTAGTTAAAGACTATCCTTTCAAAACTGTTATAGGAGAAAACTGTCTGCATTTTTAATTTCAAGTAATGAAATAAAGTGTTTTTACTCTGTGGTTTTGTTTGTCTTTCTTGCCCTCCCCCATATCTAGCCAATTCAGAACACACTCACTCCTAGAAAGCAGTTTAAAATAAGAGAAAAAAAAAGAAAACAAAAGTGAGCAAGGAAAGATTCTAGGTACACTATCACAGTTTATTTTATTATTAAAAATATAAGTAAAAAAATCTTGTTTTTAAACAGTCTCTGTTGTTCTAGGCAAGAAACAGATTCCTTGTGCTTGAATTTTCCTCAATCCATCAGTGTGAGATACTTAACTATTTCAGAGGCATATTGTAATGATAGCAAAGATGATGTTTGAGTCTTCACAGTTGTTTTTTTTTTTCTCTCCCAGGGAGCAGCATAACTGAGGACACAAATGTTGTCTCAGTCACATTTATCTAAGTTTTAAAATAAAGATCTTTAATGACAAGGGAACTCTTAGATTAGTGTGAACAACCAAACTGGTATTTAATGTAATGACCACATCAATTTAATTTCTTTGTTTCTTTGCTCTTTTCAGCACAGTTGTGGGTTTAAATTGTAATTTGGACTGTTTCTCTGACTTTCCCAGTAAAAATAAATCTGATGTCATTGCATGCTCCTTGGCAGGCCATGTGTCATTATTATAAACCACACAGAGATTTTTTTCTCATCCAGATTTTCTTTGCAGGGCTTTTGCTTATGACAGAGTTACAAAACGGTGCCATTGGTTATCCTTCAACAGCTTGACAAATGGTGTGAGAAAGAAGCAAGACCATGCGTTTGATCTGTATGAAAAGAAGGGTAACTGATTTATTTACTGATTTTGTTTTCCCAGCTAGGGAGGGGAAAAAGAACCCCTGAGGTCAGTCAGTGATTTTTTGGCTGTAGGAACATCCTGGGCATGGGTGCTTTCATGCATTTTGAAAGCTGCATCCTACAGCTTTATTTACACATACCCTGAGTTTGCTGTCATGCAAATTTGTCTACATACTTGCTGTTGGTCAGTTTTCCAATCTACATATTTGCTTACTGTCATGCATACTAGTTTCAGTTTTGTACTTCAGTTTACTACTGAGCAGCTCAGTGTGAGCTTGTATGAGTTACCATTTATTACTTAATATTGCTCTTATGTACCTCGTTAATGCGTAGGATACATAAGTCCTCAGACATGGAGTTTTTTCAATCAGATACATTGGGAAAATTTCCAGGATTTTTTGGGGGTCAGATAGTGATCAATATTTGGGGAAAAAAAAAAGATAGGCATGTATATCAACAAATAAACAGTATTTTAAGATTTAAGTAGGTAAATGGTAATAATTATTTTATGCGAAAGCAGAAGATGAACTTTAATTTTTCATACATAAACCACATCCCTCATTTCTTCTTTTATTTCAATAGATTATGTCAGAAATTGTATCATTGGAAAAGGAGCAGACTATAAAGGAACAATATCTGTTACCAAAAGTGGTATCCAGTGTCAGGCCTGGAATTCAATGATCCCCCATGAGCACAGGTAAGAGTTCAGGAGCAGAGACAATGGAATAGTGCCCAGACAGCTTCCATAAAGTATAAGAATTTATGGGAAAACTAACATTAGAAAACAAAATCTCTTAGGTATATTCTTGCCTTTCTCCAAGACATGCCATTCTCCAGATCCCAGAAAATCCCTATCTTGGACTTTCTCCAAAAAGTTCTCTCCTAATGCCAGCCTGTGTGTCTGTATCTCTTTCTTTCCTGTGGTTTTTATGTTGTTGTTTGTTTTTTGGTTTTGTTTTTTTTTTTCTTTTTTTTTTTTTTTTTTTTTTTCTGTGTATATCCTTTTGATCTCTTAGCTGCTGGCAGAAACAAAGCATCTGCATTATTTCAGCCCAGGGTCTGGAAGTTCATCACTATTTTCTAATCAACTCCCAAGGAATAAGCAATTTTGAAAACCACATTATTAGGAAGCAGGGGATAGTAGATCACCTATTTGTATAATATTATTAGTATATTTTGCATAGTTACTGTCAATTCTCTGTTATTTATGAAATATGTTAAACTCTATGGAGCACTTAGGCCAGGCAATGAATCCATGGAAAGGATGAAGAGGCTTTTCAAATCCTTCCCTTCAGATTATAGAAGCTAAAAACTGAGGGAGCATGTACAGGACTTATCTTTTCAGAGTAGGATCTGGTATAGTGAGAAACTGAGGCCAAACTTACACCTTGAGAGTAAATCTAGTTGAACTCTATTGGCTAAGGAAAAAGAGAAGAAAGCCAAAACCTGAAGCCAGTAAGAGTAATGGTAAAAACAGATTCATCCCCAAAAAATGTTCCCAGAAACCAGTTAAAGGACTAGAAAGTACTGGTGTACTCTTTAACCACTCCTCTTTAAACATTTTTGTACTGTCTTTAACCATGTAGATAACAAAACTTGAAGAGAAAAAACCAAAATGTCCTTTCACCCATAATTTTGCTATCCCCATTGCTGCCCTTTGCTCCAGACTCCCAGGGTCAGCAATTTGTTTAGGAGGAGCCAAACTGGAGATGGCTGAGGAACTGGGTTGTGCACTGCTCAGTCCTGTCCTGACCAAATCAATCCAGTGTGCAAGAGGATATCTTGGAACAACATTAAAAGGCAAAGGATAGTTGAATTCTGTCCTCTTATGATGTGTTACAAAGCTGAGCCTCAGGCTTAGACTTACTGGACTTGGCTCTTACAGTATAGAAGGCAGTGTCTGCTCTTCAGTTTGGGACCAGACCTGTTCTTAACTGGGAGCATTCCATAAATACCACCAGATCCCACAGCAATGACTTCTTGAGACTCAACACCTTGAATTAGATATCTTCATCTTTCAGAAGTGACAGAATTCTTAATCATTATAACCTAAGCAAAAATGAGCATTTATTCTACATAATATACATGTGACTTTATATAATTAGAGAAAGTGTCCAGATAGCACGTATTATCACTAAATTGCATTTTAATACACAGCATACACAGTTTTATCACACACAGATTTTTATTCAATGCCTTTGGACAGCCACTCTTCTATGATGAATTTTATGAGTGACTGTTCTCCTGCCTTGTGAAATGGGTTTAATTTTTAAAAGGTCACCGGATAAATGAGGTGGCTGCATGCTAATTTTGTTTTTCAACATCAGAAAATATGATTTCATCATCAGAGACATGAGGGAGGTGGGAAGAAGCAGACAGTAGTGGTGTGTTTGGAACTTATTAGTACAAAAGCTTAGCCTTGTAGGTTGGTTTTTCTCAACAGCTGATTATCTCAAAGTGCCATTGGAAAATTAATCCCTTTTTCATATTTAAAGGAGAAATGTATTTTAATGATTTTGAATTATATCTCTAGGAAGAATTGAAACATCTTGAAACTTTAAACTTTTGCTTCAATCTAGCAAGTCATATTTTTATTTATTTGTATTCCATCAGAACACAAAGATTCCCAGCAAATATCTGCTTTCTATTATTGTCATCTCCATCCTAGTACAGATTTTAAGACTCTTAAAGAGTTTTAAATTAAAAAGTCCAATGTAAAAAGGTCTAAAAGAGAAATGGTCAAAGAGCAGACCAATGCTTTGTAGACTCTTGGCTAGTTTCCATGGCTTTAGTGTGGTTTAATCTGTTTTTACCATTACTCCTACTGGCTTCAGTTTTTGGCTTTTTTCCTTTCTTTCCTTACCTAATGGAGATGAACTAAATCATCAGTTTTAGTAGTGGCCCTTTCTTCCATTTCTGGGTAGATCTTTACTGCAACTCATCTTTTCCTCTCTCAAGAACTTTGCTTCAGTACCTGTTGAAGCCATTTATATATCTGACCCATCTTGCATCCCTAGTGCTACTCATTTTGACTTTTTTCTTTTTTTTAATGCTCTTACAGTATATCCGATTTAATTCGAGATGCCTTTTCCCTTTATTTTCTAATGAGCAGAAAATTTAAATAGAATATTCTAATAGGCACTGACATACCACTTTAACACATATGCAGGTGTGAATGTCTCATCAAAAATGTTCACCTGAGAGTCTTTAATTAAAAAGTTTAAGATACTTTCATTATAAGAATACAGAAGAGAAAAAAGAAGCACCACTTTTATAGGCAGCAGGAATGACATAAAAATTAATCTATTCAAGCACCAAAAATAAAAAAGCATCTTTATGTGATGTTTCCATACTGCATTGACTAGAACCTCAATGTGATTAAAAGAGGTATTTTTCACTTCAGTTAGTTCAAGTATTTCATTAATGGGAATAAAACTTGAATAAAATGTCATGCCAAAATTTTCTTCTTGTTTCTCTCTCTCAAAGCACTCAAAATAAAATATTAGATACTTTTAGAATAAAAGGTGCATTATTTATATTTCTACCAAAGCTTAAATACTGATAAAAAATGGAACAAATCTCATAAATCTCAAAAATTAAATAAATTAATTAAGTTCAGTTACATGTTTTATGTGATCACCTATGTAATTAGCCAAGTATTTCAACTGACAAAAACACCTTCATGAGACAGATCACTGATTTTAAGGTGCTTTCTAACTCCAGAGATTTATCTGCTGTTTAGTATTTCTGCAATGTAACTGGTAGAGAAATGCCCCAGATTTGTCTGCAGTGTGCAGCCTGAATGTGGTCATGAGCTGTTGAGGTGGCATTAAACAGACCAGCTCTGGGGTTGGGTTCCTTACTATGGGGTTAGCTGTTCCTTATTTTGCGGGGTAAATAAGCTAGCATTATTTTAAGTGTAAATATTTATATATCTCTGTTATATGAAGTGTGTGTGTGTGTCACTGTGTATTACATGGTTTCTCTAGATGTAAGCACATACTTTTACAGATACCTGAGAAGAAAACACCTTGATCCTGGACATGTTAAGTCAGCTGGAGTTTTGTTAAATGTCTGAACACACACAATGCAATTATGAGTGGGTCTGTGTGTAGCAGACCCTAAGGTGACCACAGTGGGACTTGTGGCAGAGCGTGAAGGAACATGCTAAATGAATATGAACTTTCTTTAGCTAAGAACAGCTAAAATGGCATCTGGGGAAATCTCTTGTGCTGAAATACAAAGCAGTCCCTGGTTTCAGGCAGTGAAAGCCTCTCAGTGAGGTGTAGCACAGACCTGGTCACACTCGCATGCTGCTGATGATCAGTTCTTGCTGCTGCCTGACCAGGGATGCAAAGAGGTTTTTCTGCTTGTGGGTTTCACATTGTAGGTGAGCTCTGAGCCCAGCTGGACCTGTTCTATGTGCCAACATGCACAGGACAGACAGCCCTCACCTGGCTACAGACCCAATCAGCCCCTATGGACCCAGAGCTCCTGAAGGAGAACACAGTGCAGGCTGGCAGGGAGTGTGTGACTGCCTCTGGCTCTGCCCTAGATAGTTGTCTCTGGACAGCTGAGGGATGGGAGTAAAACTCTCTTGAGCACGCTATGGGCTAGACAAATTGTCCCAGATTTAGGCCATTTAGGTTGAGTAATCCCAACTGAAGATGTGTACTTGTGTACGGACAGATATTTGGGTGTGTGCATTTGCTTAGACAGGGTGGAGGGAGAAGGAAGCAGAAATGTGATTGTTTCTAACTGTTTGTAAAAATAGTATGATTAACCCCAACCTTTGCATGCTCTTATACTGTAATGATTGTCATTTTAAAACTAGCTTTTTGCCTTCGAGCTATCGGGGAAAAGACCTGAGGGAAAACTACTGCCGGAACCCCCGAGGGGAAGAGGGAGGCCCGTGGTGCTTCACCACCAGCCCCGAGATGCGCCACGAAGTCTGTGACATCCCCCTCTGCTCAGAAGGTAACCCAGCACGGCTCCTGCAGAAAGCTGCCTCTGCTCTGCCAGCAGCAGCTGCATAGAGCTCCCAGTAATCACTTGCTCATGGCCTTTAGAGAAAGAATAGGTGATTTCTCAGTGAGAGGAACTCATACAGTGAGAAAAGAAGTTGTTACAGGATGAGATGATCTTGTGACATTCCAGTATGCTGGAAGGTTTCAGGCTCAGCAGCTTTTTTCAGGCTATGGAGGAGATTGAACAATGAAGTTGTGCTGATCACACAAATGTGATCCTTTTTTTATTTTTTTGCTGGTCTCGTCTATAGTGAATCCATTACAATTTCAGTATTACTATGTGATAAAATCATCTAGTGCCATTCCATGGTAAAATCAGCTTTTCGTCTTCTTTTTGATGAAAATATAGATACTGGATTACAAGATGAAAGCTTAAGATAAGCATGCATTTTGCTTTTTGAATAAATACTGTAAATGAGTATAACTCTTAGCAAATCCAACCCCATTTGACTTTCAAGTCACAGAATTTGAAAGACACTTTATATGCATCATTGCATTTGTTGACTTTTAAGTTCTGTTAACCTCCAAATTAAGCTCTTATATCTTGCTAATCAGCCAATTCAGTTCCAGTCAATCAACCTATTTAAATTTTCAAGATAGGATGCCTTTAATTTTCCTGCTAATATATCACATGCAATAGCTGTGCTGTCCTTAGGAAAGGAAGAGGAGAGGGAGGGAAGGAGGGAGGGAGGGAGACTGAATGGGAGAGAGGAAGACAAGGAGGAATAGAATAATTTACACGGAGCTTGAGAATTTGTGAAAATCTATAATTTAAAGATAAACTTATGTGAACTGCAAATGGGATATTTGACCTGGAGCTCACTGTAGGATGAAAACTTTGGTAGCTGGTGGTTTGTGATATCCATAATTCCTTAAAATAGTATTTTCTAAATTATCCTTCCTTACAATTACTGTAATTAGGGAGTACTTGAGAAGTTTGTCTACAGTAAATTCTGGTGATTTTTTTTTAATATTTTCTGACCTTTCTAAATTTTGTTCAACAATGCTTTCAAATTCCTTTAGTAACTTTTGGCCACTCTCCCTCCATGTACCCTATCCACTTTCCCAAACCAGGACTGAAAACGTATCTTGGTTTGAGCTGCCAAAAACCATTATCATCAAAAAGATACAGTATCATACATAGCTGGAGATGCTGGGTATATAAAGAGACATACTTTACTGCACTGAAATTGGGATTTTGCCAATATTCTGCACTTAAACTTGTACTGCAATTATACTGTGACTTACAGTAATTTAGAAAAATAAATGGGGCTAATTAGGTAATATCACCTTTAAAAAATACTTCTTCCTTAGCTATGTATCTCTCTCTCACTTACTAACTGTAAGTAAGGTTAGTAAAAAATGATAGAAGCAGGAATGCCTCTAATAGGTCCCCTCTACCTGCTTCGAAACTGGAAGTGTCCTATAAAGTGATATAAAATTTAAGAATCTGGATTTGCATTAACAGATAAAATTATATTCCAAAGGGCATTACACATACCAACCCAACAGAAAGATATAATTTTTTAGTACCTCTTTAGGTTGATATCATTATATATGTGGTTTTTATGTTGATTTCTTTGGTTTTGGTTTTGGTTTTAGTTCTTTGTGTTTTATTTCTTTTTATTGGGAGGGGGGTTGGTTTGATTTTAATTTGGTGGGGGTTTTTTTGGGGGACGTTGTGTTTGTTTTTTTTGTTGTTGTTGGGGTTTTTTTTGCCTTTTTTTTTATGGTATAAGCATTAGTGTAATAAATGACTAGTGTCCATTTTTTTTTCCTAGTTGAATGCATGACCTGCAATGGAGAGAGTTATAGGGGGCCAATGGATCACACTGAGACAGGCAAGGAGTGTCAGCGCTGGGATCTTCAGAGACCACACAAGCACAAATTTCGTCCAGAGAGGTAACCTCTCCTACCCCCAAGCAAGACCATGTGGTCATAATTTGAAAATTACACACATTCTGGAACCACCTGAGTAAAACTAGCATTAGCTCAACTGAAATTTATGGAGTTCACCAGTTTTAGATGCTTGGGCTCCTGGCCCCTGGTGTAGGCTGGCTACTGACACAATGGAGATGCAGGATGGAAAGTAGAGGCTGTTTTGTGCAGTTCTGATTACATCCTGTGCCTGACTGGTGTAATAATGCTGCTAATGCTTTAATTGATCAAAAATTCCTCCCTAGTTCATTGACAGTAAATAAATAACTTCTGAGTATTTCTGTATGTATTGGTATGCAGCTGCAGTCAGCTTAAATACCTTAATCACATAGTAAATAATGATTTAAAGTAACAAATTTTTGCTAGATCTCTTAACACAATTGATGAATATAAACTTCCAATATTGTCAAATAACAATATCCTCCTTTTTGCTATACAGAACAGCTTTAAAGCTGTAGGTGACCTTCCATAATAATCACATTTAAGTATCCAATTTGTTTGACTGAACTGTTTGACCATTACATCTGTTTATTCACCCTGGGAAAGGATTTAATCATTCTGTTTAGCATTTTATGATCATGGATTTCTTTATTAGACTTGTTTTCTTTTTTTAATTTAGGCACTGATTCACAGTGCCAAAAGCTGAGTCAGAAATAGCAAGACAAATTTCATCCCTGTTAGCATTTGTCCTACAGGGCCAAATTCATCCAACTACAAAGGGTCATCTATAATACACACTTCTGAAAGTATTGTGGGAGGGAGAGGCTGGGAAGGGGTTAGGCCACACAGGAGGGGGTCTCTGTTCATCTCAAACTGGACTACATTTTCATTTTAGTTTTATTCTGGATTTTGGATTAACTCTATTTATATATTGTTTTGAATAAACTTAAACTGCAAGACAAAGACTCCAATAATCAAGAAAATCAGAAATTAAGACCTTCCAGTGAAAATATCTTTTTAAATGTTAAAGTGTTTCACCAAATAAAGCATTATTTTTGTTCTAAGAGATATGGGTACTGGTAGATTTTAGAAAGCCTGATTATTCAGCAAAATATGGGGGATCTGGAGTTTTGGAGCTTATGTGGTATAATCTCTTTTTTCCCTTGGCTTGGATGATCTGTTTCATGAATAATAGCAGTCTATCCCATTGTTCTGCCACAATAAATATTTTGTATTAGCAGAGTGGGACTGAAGATAATCTGTTTCTGAGTTCTGCCATGCACATACTGTGCCTTCTAGAATAAGTCACAGAAACAGTTTTGTTCCTTTGGAGTGAAACATTTATAGAACTCATGGGTACAAACAATAATAATTTTACTGTCAGGAGGAAATTTCTTTTTTTCCATTAATTTCTGATTGTTTTGCAAAATGACTTTTCAGACTAACCACAGTCTTACGAACAATCGTCTTCCTCTTTGAAATAATTCCTTCTGAGAACATCTTCTTGAAAGTTTTCAGACAGTAATAAAGTGCTGTTGTTTTTTTTTAATCAAAAAGCAACCCATCCAGATCGAACTGACTTGAGTGGGCTTTCAGAAGAGTAATGTAGTCCAGCATGTTTCTGATACACTGATGTTAATTAGCTCTGTGAATGGTCACTAAAAGTAGCAGCAATTATATTTTAATTATACCACATTTTTAAAATGCTGAAGGTTTTGGTTTGCTGGGGTTTTGGTTTTATTTTTTTCATAGTTGTATAAGTTGAGAAATAGAGAAAAGGTCTGCAACAAATGACTCATTAAAATATAGCAGTCTCTAGAGACACTTAGAGTATATCATCCAGGTGTGATGTAAATAACCTGTAAACCAGGAAGGACTATCTGCACAGATTTAAACCTACTTTCATTTATGGCTTCATCAGTTGCAATGATGAAGAAAATGAGTAAAGATGGAAATCTTTCCTAATGCACCGGTCTGCATGCTGCTGGACAGTGCTTTTGGCTCAGGGTAAATACAACTCTCTTTTCTGTCACCTCAATGAATTGTTCCACATTTACTCCCCTCAGAGGTCAGTTACTGAAGATGTTTACTGTCTGCATAGATGTGATTAAAGCAAGCAGAAGGAATTCTCCCAAACAGCTCCTGCATGGCCCATTTCCAGCTTTTAGTGGATGCAGAATTATATTCTGAAGCACCACTTCTCTTGTGTTCTCCTCACAGACACAGTTATGCCTCAGGATGGAAGGAAGACCTCTGAGGATAATGTCTTGGGCATAGAGCATCATAAGGGAGAAAACTTTTTTGTCCTTTTCTGCTCAAACTCAAACATCTTATGAAAATATCTACTACGAGGAGGAAAGTAGGGTTGAAGTGTATCGTAGGACGTGAATAACTGCAGACATTGCTTTATTAGTACCCTGGTACTAATAATTGATACTAATTTCTATCTCTTGCATGAAAATTTACTTTATAAAAAAATTAAGTTTCCACTTCTACATCTCTTTAAAAATAAAACAAAACATGGTGATTTTGACACCAGATATGTATCTTGATGCTTCATTTCAGTTCTGGCTGTGAAGTACAGCTACTGCTGCTTTAAGGGGAAAAAAACAGAAATATATAGAGTTCTAGAAGATCTCTGACACCTCAGGCTCTTTCTTAGGTCTAAGAAAGGGGTCTGTGCTCAAATGTACTGGGGAAGGAGGAGTGTGTACAGCAAAGAGACACCTCTCAAGGAATCCTGCATAGCCTCACTGTTGAATTGTGTGGAACAGTTTGAAGCCCTGTTATTTATGTTATTGCTAATATTTGTTTCTTAAAGGCATTAGTTGGCCTTTTTTATAGCAATTGTTGCTTGCTGGGTATGAAGGAAGATAGAAGCTTCCCTTAGTATTGGGGAGGAAGAACTTGACTGGGAAGTCTAGGGTTATTTGCTCTAGAAATGGACAAGTAGATCTAGTCAGTGCAAAGATATGGCTCACAGGCACAACACCATCCCATGAAGACACTCAAAGCTTGATGCTGGAAGAACATCTCTACCAAAGTTTTAATCAGTAAATAACCCATATTTGATATACTGTGGGTATAAGCCATATAATATTAGGAAGGATGGAGCATTCAGTGCAAAGACAGACGTTTGTATTCTAGAACATGGATTCTTTGCATCAAGAGCTGTTTCGAATGCTTTTTGTGAGCTGTGACTGCAGATACTTTGCCATTCCTGGACTCACATTGGTTCTTGGGTGCTAACATGCACTTTCCACGTTATTTGACATGGAACATGTTCCACCAGCATCAAAGCTCATCACTGCATCTACTGGGAGGCCAAACTCATATCATTTTCCTCTGCATTATTAGCCCATTAACTATTTATTTGGGAAATCCTTGGACACAACTTGTTCTTTACAGTTTTTTTTACACCTAATAGAAAACAGGGTATTGCTGCTAGATCTGAAATTACCACATTCTTGACTGCCATTGAATTACCATTTTGGTGAGGTTGCTCCTTGGTGTTTTTGTTGTCATTTTTGTTTTCTTTATTTTGAATTCTACTTAAACCTTATCCTTGTCCCTTGTATAGTTGAAGGAACCTGACTTTTCCTAAGAAATGGGAGATCAAGTTGCAAATGAGTCAAAATTAGCATGATCATTTGACAGAAAAAGCATCCTAGCAAAAACATACACTTGTAAATCATATTTTCATCTGCTTGTGTGAAGCACATCTGCTTGCAGTTGTAAATGGATTCAGGTTCCCAAGCAGTTAACTTTATTGCTCTCTCCCATACTTTTCAGGTTTTCCTCAGAGGCAAATCTACTTTTTGTTTCTTTTGCAAACACATTTCAATAAAACTGGAAGGCTAAGACAATTTGTATTCTCTAGAGAAAAAAAAAACAACGAACCTGATGCATTTATCTCCTTCAAGTTTACAGATGTTAGTATCATGTATTTATACAAAAAAACCCTACATATCTTGGATAGCTGTCTGATAGTCAGTGATGCTGTAGGAATGGGGAAACATTTAAATATAGCCCAATATTATCAAGTCTTAATGAGATAAAGTGAGACGGAAGTTATTTACTTATTTTTCTCCTTCTTTGTCCCATTGCTTGAAATGAGGCCATGACCAGAAATAAGCTCTGTTACAAAAATGGAGTTATCATTAGTAGGAAAGCTACTCAAAATATCTTCCAGTTTGAACCCAGGGCTGTTGCACTGAAGAACCTGTTTTCTTAATGAGTCCAGCATGGCAGGCAGTATTTAGATAATCCACATTTAATTGGTCTGTTTTAAAAAGAAATGAGTGGCTTAAGTGTCTGGTCATGGGTTGACAGACACAAGAGCAAGAGTTTAACAATTAGTGGAGTTAGCCTATCCGGTACCCTGTGCATTAGCACAGCAGGGAGTCCCTCAGTGGAGGTCTGACTCTGCTGCAGATTTGGAAAGTGTTTATATGTTATTAACTTTTTAACAGCGTTAGAAGCATATTTGCATCCATCCTACAGGATCAGACCCAAGGTTAATAGGGACCAGTTCTTGTTTGCCTCTGCTGAAATGTGTCCTTTAAGTACCTTGCAGAAGTCAGTGCAGTGTTGCCAGGAAGATTTCCCTGATGCGTTTCTCGTTGTGGTTTGCAGATATCCTGACAAGGGCTTTGATGATAATTACTGCCGCAATCCTGATGGCAAGCTGAGACCATGGTGCTACACTCTTGACCCTAACACCCCCTGGGAGTTCTGTGCAATTAAAACGTGTGGTGAGTTCAAGCAAAATTTATTACTTCCTTTTCCTTTCCAAAATCTGGACACAGATATTTCAAGCAGTGTAGGACCACCGCTAGTTCATTCATTGCCCTTCATTGGCTTCTAAACCACAGCTTTCAAAGAGGGCCTCCTATAAACACTTTATATTCAATCTGGACAGGAAAGAAGAGTTGTGTGTTACTTACCACTGGAATATGTGTATGTCTTATGTACTGAAAATTGCATGAAAATGTATGAAAATGAAGAACTAAAAAAGTGAGGCAACAAAATCATGAGGATCTCATGTACAGTATCAGTTTGGCCATGCTGGACATTTGCATTATCATTTGAGAGTATCAAATATCATTTGGTGCACACACACAATCCCTCCTCAGTGTCCTCTGCTAACAACTTTTTACTGCTTTGCAGTTCTAGGCCTTGGGTCCTGAACATTATTCACTCTTGTGCTGAAGATAGAATTATTATTTTCCACATGGGTCTCTCTGTGATATTCAGCACTTTATATCAAAGCAGTCCACAGGCAATGAATTTCTTCTCATTCATCAGTTACAACTTGGTGGCATTTGTTAACCACACTTTAGAGACAAATTGAATCAAAGTGACATTGAGGTGTACAGTTGTTGGATGCTCACTTTGAGATTGTCTTGTTCAGCATTTTAGAGCTTACTACAGCATGTTATGTCTACAAAGCTCAGATCATCTTAACTTTGCTGACAGCTCTGAAAGCTCTATTTTACTGATAATTAGATGTCTTAAAGGAGAAGTAATGGGACAAGGAAGGTAGAACTCTTGGTCATTTCCTAAAACTTGAGCAAAGCAATTTTTCTGTACTTTTATGGTAATACTGGAACTAAGGCAGATGGCAGAACCAGTTTTACTGAGACTTGCTTTAAATATTGGGATGGGTGGCAGGGAAGAGGTAATAGCTCTGATGTGAAACTTTATTTGTGAGCTGTTGCTGCCTAAAGAGGGATTCTCTACCTTCACTTAGAATTCTTATCAAACAAATTATGCCATGTTTTCTGCCTGAATCACCAATAATTCAGAATTTTCTCTCCTTAGCTCTTCACAGCTTAGGCCAGTTCTAGTTCTTGGAGATTCAGTCTGGTCTAATAAATTTGTCAATTTTTGAAATCCAAGAGTTGAGTAAGAATATTCTGTACCACCTGGTGTAGAGTGATTTAACTTCTTCTATCTTATGTCATTGTAATTCCAGTATAAGGTAGATATATTATCAAAAATATTTCACTGTAAAAAAGGCAAAGTTATTTTGATACTTTGGGCAATGTCTAATCAGGTTCTCCAGAGACAGAAGAAACTTGGCAGGATTGCTGCTTGTTTTGGTCAGGCAGTCATTAAGTCACACCCATTTAAACATCCTACCTGTGAACTACAGGACTAATTAATGTCTTTGTATCTAGGCTTACTAATATCTTTGATAAAGGGGAAAGCTCAGACCATCTCCTTTGTGAACACGTTGCTTAGCTGTGCAACTGAATCATCTTTCAAATTTTCAGTTGCTCCAGTAAGTAAGGAGCTGCTGCTTTGGATTTTTGGCCTGTGTTGGTTTGGGTTTTGTTTTGGTTTGTGGTTTGTTTTCTTAAACTAAACTGCTTCCTACACTTCTCCAATTATTAGATAACGTATGAATCATGTGTAGCATACTAGAACTGTTCTTTTCCCCTGTTACTATTATGAAAAAAAGTATTCCTAAGTTACAGCTGACGGTTTCATAAATGCAACTTTTATAAACCTTTATCCTTTGGCATTTCCTGAGCTGATGTGTCAGTGTTCTGAGGATTCACATCTGGCCTTGCTGGTCACGTAAGCTTACGCCTCATGCAACTTCCAGTATCTAGAGTCTGGCCTCAGCCTTATAAAATAGTTAGGTGGGAGATCTCCTGAAAACTTCTGGATTATCACCTTTGTGTATCAAGTCATAGCAGAGCCCTGAAGAAAAGGTAAAAAGGTAAAGATCAAAATGAAATTAAAAGCAACTCCAAAACACAGTGTAATGATTTTCATATTGTGATGAAAGCCTTTTGTCTCATTTCTAGGCAAAAGTTCACTGAAGGAACTAGAAATTCTTTCCTTCAGTTAGAAACTACATTAAAATCAGTGGAAATTTCACATGTAAAACTGTATTTTCCCTGCAGAATACTGTATCTCTTTTGAAATTAATAAGGCAATCTCTATGAGAAAAAAGTTTAAAAGTAGTGGTCATGAAAGCTTAATCCAGCAGATATTTTCAAAGGGTTTTTCTCACAGGCATATGACATTGCCCTCTATGTAAGATGCAGTGGTGCTCAACGCTTTCCTTTATAACCCACTGAGGGAATTTATTGCTGATGCTACTGTTAAATCACCATCTTGATGGCCAGAATACTAAAAGAAATTATTTCAGTTTTCTGTCTTTCTTGAGGCTCATAAAAAAAATTGTTTTCCCACCTCCTAGCAGGGAGCCCAAAACACTTGGCTATTCTGGGTTTCGGTGGCTGCTCTGTGTTTCTGATGCTGGGGCTGTTTGCAATCTCAGAACACTAAAAAGAGAACATCATGAGTTATAGGTCTTTATAGCTTTGTGGTTTGGATTCTCACACAGGTTTTTAATTCCTATGCTGAGGACTGTTTATTTAATTTACAAGAAATACTAATTAGGAAAAATGCTTTGCAAATCCAAGTCCTTGGACCATATACAAAAATGTAGGTGTCCTCTCTTTGGGGAGTGACCACAAGGCAGCATGCTGCTTGTGGCTTTTTGCTACATGCCGTGAGTGCTAGTGTGCTTTATAGCCAAAATGCTGACAACAGCTCATATACAAAATTTTCAGCAAAAAAAGTTGGTGGAAGGAAGTGTTTAGAAAATAAATATGGTTTTAAGACTGAAGAGAGAGAGGGCATTGTAATTTTACTTCCAAGCACAGAATGCAGCATAAAACATTGTGGCTTACAGCCAGGGCTGTGAGAAAGAGATGACAGGAGCAATTAGGAATTAGAGATGGCTCAAGCTGCAAAAACTGGATTTGGATTAAGACTTTGGGGACCCCAGGACTGGTTTGAAGTTGCTCACATATGTGTCTGTGGTTTTGGCTTGAGACAATTTTTAGTTAGAAGAGAGGATAAAAGGACAACTAACAGCAATGAAGAAGTGTAGGACGAAATGAAGAAATGGAAGCAGTGCCAGCAAACATGAAAAAGGAAGATGACTGTTATTTTGGCATAAATGAGAACATCGACTACAGGGAAGACAGGAGTAGAGAACGAATACTGATTTTTTTAAAGCCCCAATGTGTAGCAGCTCCTCTATGGATGAGCTTTAGAAAGGTGCTGAGACCCATAAAGGAAGCTATGTATATCAGTCATTTGAGAACTGCAGAGCTTTTTGGAATTACTGTGTTAAGGACAGTGTTTCATTGATGCCTACCTGATGTCCAGACAGCTCAGATGCTTTTACTGTGGATTTAGCCTTTGCCACCAGTAGTCACTGACAGTAGTCAGGGGTGACCAAACCTTGAAAAGCCTTGAGAAAATTTAACAAAGGCCTCAGTTGAATGGGAAAGAACAAGTAATGAAACACCAAAATTGAGACTCTAGATCTAAAAATGAACTGTTGCAGTGTGCCTACAGCTTTTGGGAAGGCAAAAACCCCCTAGTATTAAATTAGTCATTCTTTAAAAACAGAGATTTCAACTTTCCATTTGAATGCACAGTCCTGATTAAAGAGTTATTTGTTGAATCATTGTGCATAAACAAATAAAAGTTAGACTCATTTAAGTTTAATATTTCTGTAAGATGAAGATGTTTTTAGAAAGAGGCAGGGAAAAGAGACTGATATTTAGAGATTGATAAAGTGTTACCTTCCATCATGCTTTACAAGGAGACAAAGAATAGGTCCGGTGTTCACTGTTCATGCAACAGCTTAATCCATATTGCCTCAAAAAGGATCCTTCTCAAATGCTTTTCATCATTTCTATGATCATTTGAAAGTGAAATTTAGGAACTCTAAATGTGAAGAGACTTTCTTTTTTTTAAAAGATTTGAAATAAAAATTGTTTGTATTTAAAGCCTTGTTGTAGACACTGGAACAGCCTGGAAAGATCTTTCTGTGCTCATGGACAAATGAATTTTACGTGCGAAGGTTTTAGGTGACAATGAGTTCTTCAGTACTGTGATTGTTAAGCTTGGCTAGAATTGATTTCTTTACTTTCTCACATGCTTTTACTGAAAAAAAAAGCAAAACACTGAAAACCAGTTGGGTTTTTCTTCCATTCTTGTACTGTGCAATGGTACATCGAAGAAAACTGAGCATGTAACTGAGGATGAGCAGCTTCAAAATGCCACTCAGCTTTCTTAATAACATTTGCAGAATTGCATGGATCACATTTAGAATCCACTTTTGAAATTGTTTTGCCACAAATCAGAGCACATTTTCCTTCTGTTCAATGACACTGTAGAAGAGAAATTGCATGAATATAAGCAAGAACAGGTATTCTCCTCATGATATAATTTAGGACTCTGCTTCTATTCTAACTATGTCTTTTTCCACAAATACATAGGTTGTATTGTCATGAAAGAGCATGTATTCTCCAGCAAAATCTCTACCTTCTTTTAAGTCAGTGTGATTCTCCCCATTGACCTAAAATTTGTGCAGGATTTTCTTCTGGGTCATTGGGATTAAAGTGTGAAACAGTATCTAGCTGGTTACTTCAGCTGTCGAATGACTCAAGGCCCCTGCTGATTCCCTCATGCTGGCGTTGCTGTGAGAACCAGAACTGAGGACTATCTGTGGCTTTACACATAAGGCTCTGGATGATGTTTAATCTTTTTAAGATTCTATGAATGCATGAGCTGTTCCATATTTATAAAGTTATGTATTTTGAAGTATCAAAAAAATGAGGGTTTTATGGAAAAAAAGGATATCTTTGCATTATTGCCCTTTGGTCGGGGACTTTGGAGCGAACGTGTGAAGATAGAAATACTGCTAATGGGAAATCCCCTCATGTGGCTGTCTGAGTAACATGTTTAATCTTAGTCATCCAGAATTTAAAAAAAGAAAACAAAAACCCACAAAGTTCAAAAGCAGCAAAATGCTGCTAACAACTACCAAATTCTTCCATTCATAATGAACTTTCCTAAAGGAGTAAGAAGTGCCACTTAACCCATAAATTATAAATAGTAGTCTTTTATAAGGTGGAATTTTGTGTGATCTTTCTTTAACAGTACTTTTAATCTCAGTTCAGAACTAAAGAAATTTGAACTGAAGCAAAAAATCCTGGGAACTTCCATTATGAAATATTAGTACGTACTTCAAAGTAAGGATTGCTTGTTGATTTTCAGTTGATCTAACTAAATTCATATTGTCTTCCTCATTGGAACAATCCCTTGGATTTTCAGATCTTAATTTATATTTTAGAGGATTTACTGTGCTAAGGATGGGAACTCAATTTTATAGATTTTGATCTTGATTTTGCCTTGTAAGAGAACTGGTGAGTGTGGTCTAAGGGCTCTTTCACCAATGCTCTGCACATCTGATGTTCATGCCCAGAGATATTAAATTTAGTTAATTTGGTATGTGGGTGATGAGGAACTAGCCTCAACAACAAGACCAGTACTGGATGGAGGTGACTATGTAAGTTATAGGTTTGGACTGCCTGGGCACTTCTTAGTTTGGCAAGTGCTGCGTAATCTGCAGTGTCTGGTGAGAGAGGCACTGCTCCTCAAGCTCTTGCCTGTTCCTGTGCACATCCAGCCCAACTTTCATTAACAGGAATAGGGAGACTGTTCCCATCATGCCTGTTTGTGGAACCGACAGATGAATGAAGGATTTCTCAAGCCTTTATTGGTAAGTTTTGAGCTTTCTGTGAGACTCAATAGCTAGAATGGGAATTGGTTCTGAGGACACAAGCCCTCAGAATTTCAGAATTAAATTTTGGAAATAGTTTGGAGTCTCATTTTTCACGTTTCAAAATGAGACATTTGTAGTGTATGCAGGTGGTACAGCAAGAAGAATTTGGGGAGGGCTCTGTGGACCCTTTGGAACAATGAAACTGGTTTATTAGTTAAAATAAGAATATTTTACTGATCCCTCTCGTTACTAGAATTCTTATTGAGAGCTGCCACAAGTAATAGCAGATAATCATGTTACAGTCATGATTCTCTCTCAGTCATTATAGCGCAAGTCTTTCTAGAAGTGGCTTGGCTGTGCAAATATGTCAAAGTTAAGTTCTTCTGATGCCTTTACATTGTATATTTTGACATTGCCAAGTTGTAAAATCTGATCTACAGGTAGAGGTCACTGTCCAGACACATAATGTAAGGTTCAACAATTAACTGTGCATGTGCAGATGTACAAGAAGGAATGCTCTACAAAATTACTATGGCCTTGATTAAATCAAGTGATTCTTCACATATTTCATTTCAGGCATGTGATTTAAAAAAACCAAACCCACATAATGATATATAAACACCAAGCTAATTATTTTTTCTTTAGCACGACTGAGTACAGTTCATTACAGTTGAAATAGTAACTTTTTGTGTATAGATAAGGTCTTTGCAACAGCTTATATTTGATTGATTTTTTTGTACATTATTATTTAAGATGACTTTTTGCTAGAGTTATGAAATTTTAATTTATTAATTTACTTAGGAAATATTATGAAGCCTGGGTACATGCTGAATTTTATCATCCTAGGGAATTCTTCTACCCCTGCCCCCTCAGGTCTTTCCCCATATCTCTTTCATTTGTATAAAAGAAATATGTGTATTTTTGAAAAATACTAATATATATTTGAATGTTGCATAGCAATGTTTACTCTAATCAGCTTAGAAGCTATTTTAGAGTAGAACTTTATTTGTTTTCATATATTACTTATAATAGAAAACAAAAATATTGCAGCTATTTATTACTATAAGTTGTGTGAATTAATCTTTTTTTAGTCTTATTTAAAAAGTGATGCATAAAGACTAAATATAAAGTTACTAGCTGCAAGAGTGTTTGATCAGTTCCCCTAGAAAGAGTGCATTTGTCAGCCTGCAGAAACCTCCTTGTGATACTTGCAGTGCCATATCCTTTTGACTTTGGAATGAGCTTGGAACTCAAAATCCTGTTGAAACAGGACAACATTTGCCTTGGGAAGGAGGGACAGGAAATGAATTTGACCATGAAATGCTGACTTGAAAACATCAACCAGATGAAGAGCTAAAGGGATGCATGGATAAATGTATAATTCAAGTGCACAACTTGATGTTATCATCCTACAGGGAAATGCTCTTTAACGTCAAAGATCAGTCAGCAAATCAGCCAAAACCATCTGTTATGACATTTGGTTTCCTTAAGATCCATATTTTCTCCAAGTTCATGGAACTGGCTCAATTTACCAGGAGGGAACTACATTATGAGTAACACACAAATACTGTTCTATTCAGTGGACCATTTGAAGAAAACTAAATAAAGAAGTTTATTGACATACTTTCTGCTGCCAACTAATACTTTTAAGATAATTAATAAAATTAGTCTTGTGAACCATAGTAATTACCAACAGATATGCAGTTTCTTTTAAAATATTGTATTGGGAACTTTAAGGATATTGAAGAATTGCACTTACTGCAGTGTATTTAGTTTTGTACTACTTTGTATATATCTGATGCAATATCTGTGCCATTAATTTGCAATTATGAAAATTGCATAAGAAATAAAAAGAGACTTTTAAGTTATGTGAATGAGTCATTTCAAAACCACTGTTTTTCTGAATTTAGTTCAAGACAGCCCACACCAGGGTGAGTGCAGAGTATATCAACATCTGTAAGAGATCTTGAGTCTGATGAATTTGTTAGTCTTTAAAACATTTTTCTCTCTGTAGAGAATACTGATCTTTGATTTCAAAAGCTAGGGTTTTTTTTTCCCTCTTTTAACCATATGAGGCATAAAAAAACCAAACCAAAACAACATTCTAGAAGAATTTAGCACATTATCTTATAATAGTATCTATAGTTTTTTATTATTATTTTTTATCTGCATCTTTTTTTCCTGTGACATGATATTCTGGGAATTCTTTAGAGAAACCCAATTGTATTTTAATCCTACAAATATGTGTTACCATGTTTAATAGTGCACATGTGGGTGGTCGCTTAGTTTTTTAAAGCTGATGGAATGATATTTTCTGAACTTGAGAAAGTAACCAGGAATATCTTGTAACTTCCAATGGTACAGCATGGGCCAGGTGTTTCACACAAGAAAATATTGCAGACTCTTTGCATGCAAGTGGATAAGCTAGCATAAAGTCTGGCACTTATTTTGATTTTGGATTTTTGGTGGATGTTGTAAGTATGAAGAGGAGAAAATTATTCTATAATCACATTGGCAATTTCACCAATAAAACTGCAATTACCATGATTCAAACATCATGTAATCCATGACTCTATCAGTAATGTGGAGTTCAAACCTGACATCCTGAGCCATTCTTAAGAGAATGAAAGAGCCCTTCTTGTCTGGGTCTGCAGAGGAGAGCATGGTGAACAGCACAGAGGCGACAGCCGAGACCACAACGTGCGTCCGGGGACAGGGCGAGGGCTACCGTGGCACCGTCAGCACCATATGGAGTGGAGTCCAGTGCCAGAGGTGGGACTCCCAGTTTCCTCACCAGCACAACATCACTCCTGAGAACTTCAAATGCAAGTGAGTAAAGACTTGTGGGTATTATTACTGCAGTGGGAAAAGAGCTGAGTTTTAAAATGTTTAACAATTCATGCCACTGGGGCAGACCACAGGGCTCTGTCCCTGCCCCTTGTTCTGATGCTTCCACTCTACCTGCTGAGGCTCAAAACCATTTGGGCCTGGAAAAATCAGTCCTTCAGATCTCAAAGGAATAGTTCTAGATATACTTGTGTGAAACCCTAGGGATTTTCATGAACCTCTCCTTCAAGCATCTATTCACCAATATGATCGTGAAGTGTCTGGATGTGTTCCAGGCTGGGACCTGAATCCCAAGAGTGTTTTTACATTACCAATGGATTTTTTTCATGGAACTAAAAACGTCTTCAGAGCTTGATTGCCAACTTTAAATTAATTTGTCCTAAATACTACCTGAATGTAATCTTCTTTGAAATAATTAACATTCATAATATTTGAAAACACTTCTCTAATTTTTCACATTTTAAGTCCTTTTTCTGTCTCATTACTAAATATAGATGCATCAATAGGACTGCTTTTACTTGACTGACCACTGGTCATCAAACCTTTTTGTATGGTTCATAAACACCCAAGGTGTGAATAATCTACTAATTTTAGGCAGTACTTTAGTAATGCTCATTCAGTCCTTTTTTAACTAAGCCTAGAAGAAACCTTGCTGACCATATTGGGGCCACAGCCCAGTATGCATGAAATATCTTTATGGATGGGTAAATATCAGTAAGAATTACAGTATTAGGCCCATTCTTTCCATAGTCTGTTATCAGCAAGTGCTGCAGATGTAAAAAACACAGTGGAATATGGAGATGCACAGAACATGGCAACAACTGTCAGGAGACAGGGAAATAAAACTTACATTTAAGAGGTTTGAATATTTCATGCAAGCTGCAAAAGACATTTAAAGATATTCCCTTGTGACTAACTTATTTTAAAGGTAACAGCTGTATAGAATTTTGACATACACTTTTTTTATTTTCCACAGTTCAGCTTCTTAAGTGAGTTACTGATAGTCTAAAGCACTCTGTTTCTCCAAACTCAACAGAACCATTCAAAGTACCGGGAGTTTTAAACACTTTGGTAATGTTTGTATTTAAAAGCACTTGTAATATATTGCAGGTGTATCCAATGTCAGTTGCATGCAAATTTTGATGGAGGATCCTGAATGAAAATATTGTTAATCTTCAAATGTAATCTCATATCCCATCAAAACATATGCTGAAAATGAATTTCCACAAATATATTCCTATTACAACTATTATTTTTTTTCTGCACACTGCATTTTTACTGGCTCCTCATCTCCTTGCACTTGACACTGATCAGTGACACAGAGACCTGAATGAGCCTGTATTTTTGTTAATTCATGACAAAAAACAATGGACCATATTGGTGGGTTTAGGTTATCCCTGCTGCGAGCTAACATATTTATTTTTACAGGGATTTGAGGGAGAACTACTGCCGAAATCCAGATGGATCTGAATCACCCTGGTGCTTTACCACTGACCCAAACATCCGTATTGGTTATTGCTCCCAGATTCCTAAGTGTGATGTATCAAATGAACAAGGTAACAGAGGAAAAGGGTGATAACAAGATTTCAAGTGAATGCCATACTGTTCCAAACATCAAGTAGACAGCCTTGAAAACTGGAGAAGTTGTGTCTGTATTACACCTATGTAACTCTGCTTTGGATTTATTGGCATGCTTGGGGTTCATTGTGGTGTAAATGAGATTCCTTTCTCACTTTATTTGTAATTCCAGCAGGGAAAGCTGCAGCAAAGATTTTATTGGACCTGATTTTTAGACAAGGCTTATCTATATATCTGCTCTACTGTCTTTACCTTTCTTAGTTTGAAAGGCCTTTTTCCACACCTGAGATGATTTCCTTGGTTCACAGTCTTTTTATGATTGCATATCAGGCTACCAAAAAGTGATTTTTTCCCCTTTTTATTTTCTTGCAAATGCCTCCTGGTCTAGAAGGGATTGATCCTCTGAGTTCTTACCTACCTCTTCCTGTGAGGTTCATTCTGAGTCTTCAGGCAAATGTTTTTCCCATGAGGTTTTGGTATTACTGTAAGGAGTAATGTTGCATCCTGAATGGATGTCAATCACAGCATAAACTGAGGCTAAGACCTCAGACCTATAACCCTACATCAGGCTGCATTAACGTCTCCATCTTTAAATTTTAGCCAATGTTACTGTAAATTTAAAAAAGTTGCAGTGGCAAGACTTATGCCAGAGAAAGGATTAAACTTTTGCATTCATTCTGTGTTTCTTGTAAAGTATCAATTATCCAAAAGTAAAAATACTGATGAATATGAAATTAAGTGCTTTATGCAAAATGTCTTTATAGTACTGATAATTTTAAACAATTCTCTTGAAAAGTCTCAAAAAGGCTTGTGATAAAAGCTTATGAATTAAACATGACTTCTGCTGGAGCGAACAAGCAAGTTTTTGAATTACATTAAAATTAAAGTCATGATGATTTTTTGATTTTGCTGAAGTACTTAAGTCTAGAATTATATACTGTTGCCAATATCTGAAAACTACACAAAGCTAAACCAAATGCCTATTCTTTTGTGGAAGGAGGAATAGAGGACCATTTTTTCTTGGTTTTCTATAAACTAGCTTCTGACAACTTTTAGGATATTCTGTGTGGCCATTCTAAATTAGTCATAAACCAACTATTTATGAAAGAAATTTTCCAAGTCCATGTAAGTAAGGCAAAATTTAAAATACTGCTGTGTTGGGAATGAAGGTCTCAAACAGGAGATTATGTATGTAAATTTGAAAACTATTTCCATTTTTCTTCTGATCTGATTTATGCAATTGCCTTATTAATAGTGTCTAGCATTCGCTTAAAAGAACACTTGTCTTTAGTAATTTGGATTACTGATGGAAAGGAAGAGTTTTCTTCCTAATGTTGCACAATCACCCTCCACTTTTTTGTCTCATCCTTCTTTTTTTTTCAGATTGTTATCGTGGCAATGGCAAGAGTTACATGGGGAATCTATCCAAGACAAGATTTGGGCTAACTTGCTCCACATGGGACAAAAATATTGAAGACTTACGTAGGTGTGTACATATGAAACAGAAAGAGATGGTTCAGTGAGTCCTGAATAAATACTGCCTCCAGATGGCAACTCTTTTTCATCTGCATTGATTCTAAAGTAGCCCCTTATGTCCTGGAGCTTTTAATATCTTTGTTTTCCTAACCTTTTTTTTTTTTTCCTTTTCTTTGTGTTTAAATATATTGCACAACATGACTTTTTTCAGGCTAACCAGTAATTGCAGGCTTTGGGATGTTTCTTAGTGTTTAGTTTACTGGCCTATTTTACCCCATCCTTGTCCTTGAAAGTTTGCTACAATGAGACGATATCAGAAATAAGAGGAAATGGTTGTCTCATTAGCCTCATCTCATAGCTCATGCTGCTTCAAGGAGGAGATTGGACTTGAAACCACCTAATGTCCCTTGCAGCCTGAAATTGACTCTTTAGTCTACAATCTAGTGATACTGACATCAAATGCCAATAAAAAGACCTGCAATGACTGTAGTTTATAATTACTTTGGCTTCATAGTCAAGTAGTAGAAATGGCAAATTAATTTATTTGTTGAAGTAAAATGAATTATCAGGACTACATATAACATAAGGGATTCATAAAATGTTTTGCTGTGTATATCACACACAGTGTGATATGTGTCTGTGATGAAAATAGTTTCTCCTTCATTTTCCTTTAGTTTCTCAAGCTGATGCAAATGTGTCAATATTAGCTTTGATACTTGCTGTAGAGCCACAGTGCTGAACATACAAGCCATTGTCCTTTGGGAGGACTGTGAAGGTCAGGAAGTCAGCCTTTAGGGAAGCTGAATTGCAAAAGGCAGATTTCAGTGGCCCTGTCTGGTATCATCAGCTGGACTACATGTGTTTCTTCCCAGAGATGGGGAGAGAGAGGATGCATATTCAGTGTGCTGCTCAGGGAAGGGAAGCAGAGGTTTAAGCTCATGCTGTCTGAGAAGCATGATAAGTCTTAGTTTGCTATGACTGAGGCAGTATAAACCTACTGGATGCTTGATGAAATTGTATTGATCTAATAGAGCACAGATCAGCCTTTCTTTTCTACTACCACCCATTTTCCATCTGGGAACTCCTTTGAGGAGTTATCTGTCTCACTCCAACAGTTTCTCTGTTTATGAGTCTTCTAGAGGCAGCATGAGTGGTTGGTTGTGAACTGAAGGAGCAGTACAGCTGTAACTAAAGAAGCCTGTATCCTTGTATCTGACAAGCCAGAAATAAACTTCTTCCTCTACTTCAGATTTCACCTCAAAATTTCACCTCCACAGTGCTTCACGTAGGCTTGCAGCTTAGATGACCTATCACTGTGGTTTGTCTGAGCCATTCATCTTTCTTGTTGCCTGCTGCTCATCCTTGCTTGCTTTCTTAGTTTGTCTTTCTTTTGCCTTTGATTCAGCTTTGTAGATTCAATGCTCCCTTGTGCTGTTAACCTGCAGGAGAAGAAACCTGTGGTCCCCAAAGGAGTCTGCAGATTTTCTGCGGGCATCACAGGCCCTCTTTTAATCAGTATAATGATCCCTCCTGAGGATATCTAGAGATTTTAGCTTCAGTGGGAGATCTAGAAGACTCCCAGCTTTCCAGTGGACACAATGCTTAAAATACCAACCAGAGGAAAGTTGGACACAGATCCAGAAGATATTTGGGTCTCATCTTCCCTTTGATTTCAACTAGCCCTAAACCCTGACCTGTAGGCTTCTCAATCAGCTAATAATACAATGCGGAGCAAAGCAACATTTAACCTTTGAAAATTTGGGCTATAGTATAAAGCTTTTCAACACTTAGAATTATTTTTTTTTCCCTGTAGGCATATACAAATATTCAGAGAACCAGATGTTAGTAAACTGAAGAAAAACTATTGCCGCAATCCAGATGATGATTTTCACGGTCCCTGGTGTTACACAGATGATCCTCTTGTGCCCTGGGATTACTGCCCTATTTCTCGATGTGAGTACTCGGCACGCTGCTGGCACTGTCAGCTGTGCAGTCCCAGTGAAGCCACGGTGTCACAGGCCTGTGCACACCTTCCTATTGTCACTTGTGGCTGCAGAAAATGTGTGATTCTATCAAGAGTCAATTGTGCGTGACTGAGAAGGAGCAGACAGAAGCTGCTTGTGCAATATATGAACAAGGGGTTCTTTTCCTTGACCAGCTTGGAGATTTCAAGACTTATTTATGCAGCAGGAGCACAAAGGGGCTATTACAGATGGTCAAACATTTTCCAACAGATCTAGCTATTGAATGAGGGCTGGATGGAGACAAAGAATTGTCTAGCGGTCAGAATGCTGGCTGTGGCCTCAAGAAACCCAGGCAGAGTTATCTTCTGGGCTACAGGCTTCAGAGACTCTTTGTGTGATCTGTCTTTGTAACGTTAGGATAACTCACTATATATATGCTGAAGTGTATATGTGCTATAGAGATTAGATTCTGCTTTCGGATGTTTATGGGATGATTTAATTCCTGGCAAGAATTAGGAAAATCATGCCTCCAAAGCGGAATGTTTAAATCTAAATAGCTTAAATAAACAGAATTAAGAATACTAGGGAATTCAGCAATAAACTGATGACATGTAGAAAAAGATAGTTTTATGCTGAAAAATGTGTAATTCACATTTATGTTCAAAATCTTTCTCTTCAACTCTTATTTCTAAGTTATTCTGCGGCATGTCCTGGGAGAACACTTAAATGGTAAATCAGGCTTTTGAATTCATGTCTGTGATCTCTAGAGGTTAAGTATAATGTTACACTCATTCCTGGAGGCAATCTACTGCATTTCCTCATAGCCTAAACTCCAGCATCTCTAAAAAGTGGTATTTGAAGTCTCAGGTGATATTTTGGCATCTATATGAAGTGTAAACAAAACTTTGCAAAAGGTTATTTGTGTCAATGTAAATGAAGAATAGCTGAAGGAATATACTTCTTATTCACTTATTCTGAGTTCATTATTTGGATCTATGAATTCCTAAGATGTATTCTCAGCAAACATTTGTAGGGCATCCAGAACTGGGGAGTAGTACATTTCTGCAATCAAACACCAGAGTGGGAATATGCCAGTTTAACAGTTGTAATTCATATGGACTAGTATTACACTACTGTATAAATATATATGCACATGCATACAGTTATACATAGAAACACACACATAGAAAACATGTATGCATGTACATATATGCGTCCATATATACACATGCATATATGCATTTGTGTATACATGCAGAAATTTCACTATGGATATAACAGCATCTATATATATGAATATACCTCTGTGGGTGTGGTGTATCTATATATTCACACATATATTTTCTTAATGATGGAAATCTATTTGGAGGAGACTGTTTAAATTTTCCTTGGGCAACTTTTCAGAAGCTACCCCTGTACCTCTAGCTCATAATCTGGGTCACTCTGTATGTGTCACTGAAGGTAAACATTTAGAAACAAGTTTAAGCAAACTTGTAACTATTTTTTTAATTAGACTAGATGGAAGTACTGAACCAGATTTTGGGGATCACGTTTTGATAAGTTTTTGCTGATAGGGACCTAAAATGTCTTTCAAAGTTTTTTAAGGAATTGAAAATTTCTTTCAGTCTTCTATAGATTTAATCACATGATTTCTGTAGTTCATGAAAGCTTATATAAAAGTCATAACTTCATTTTTCAGCATTTGCTTGTTTGAATGAAACATGTAAATTGAACATGATAGGCAGCCTGATGTCTTCAGAATTCAGCCAAGAAGAAAAGTGCTTGACATCCCTGCTCCAAAATTTTTCTTTCTTATTTCATTCTATTGGAGTAAAATTCTGCCCCCTTGTTAAGTGTTACTGAATACTGCTTTTGCAGTGTACTGAAGAAGTCATTGAAGTTTAAAACTTTGTGAACCATTAAACTTAAACATATGTCATTTGGTGTTGAAATGTAGTCAATTTTTAAATGTATTTTAATTTTGTATTATGGCTATCTTGTGTGTCTGTCTAGGTGAAGGTGATACAACTCCTACTACAACCAGCTTGGATGGTAAGTTTGTGTATGAACTGTGCAGTGCATGACTATCCTCTAAATCTAGACATTTCTTTCCAATTGGGAATTTTTATTTACTAATAAAAATTAGTAAAGTTATAAAAAACCCACCATGCAAACTGAGAAAAAGTAATTTTACTAGAGAAAAATGGGGAATAGCTTTGTTATACTCCTTTATCTATTCTCACCCTCATGTCTTGCCAGTGGTGAGATTTGGTAATGAGCTTCAATGTTTGCTTTTTAACTATGTAAATCTCAAAACCCAATTTAAATTTATGTATTTTATATTCCCTATGGATATTTAAATAGACCTACTCAGCTTCACTGGGGTAGTTTTGATGGCCTAGAAATATATTTCATTAGCACAGGAAAGTTAATACATAATAAATATTGACCTTCTTGTGGTCCTTATGTGCAACTGTGCAGGTTTCCTACCACTGCTTTTAGTAAAATGTGATCTCTGGACCTGCTTTCAGATACTGCCATTCCTTGTGCCTCAACAAAACATTTGAGAGTTGTAAATGGAATCCCAACACAAACTAACGAAGGATGGGTGGTTAGTTTGATGTACAGGTAACTATCACTTTGATTAGAAGGGCAATACAACTAACTACTAGGATATTTGTTTTAGAATTGTAGAAAATGTTGACCATAATAACAATAAAAGAATATTTCTACATTGCAGTTAAGTTCTGTAAAAGCAGAAAATTAGCATTCCTCTGATGTCAGGTGATGCCACAGTATTCACTCTGCAGTGAAATACTTTATATGTTCATTATAGCTAACTTACACATGTGAACCTGCAAAGCATTCATAGTCTTCTGTTCTTCCACTTAGCTACAGCAGACCTTTTCATAACACTGGCTTCACATTCAGCATTAAAGTGGTTATTTTAGAGACTGATGGAAAAGAATTGAATTTCAGATCAATATTTTCACTTTGATGGCAAAGCATTTATTTGTGAAGCATAAGATTCAGGATTTATATCTGTGTCAAAGAAAGCTTTCCCTTATGTCATTGCATGGAATTAAAATTTATTTGGTATTAAAAAATAAATAAGTAGGAGCTATAAGGAAATCCTTTTCATTCTGTAAAACAAGACCCTGACATGTACAACTTGTGTATAACACATGTATTGTATTATGGCAGATCTTTGCTGCTGTGTAAAAGCCAGAACACAGAATGGCTGTTTCCTATGCTCTTTACTCTGGTTCATAACTCATCAGCTGGAAGTGTGAATCATTAATTTATAACAGGATATATCTCATGCATCAGCCCTGCTTCTTCTATCATGAAAAATAAAAGTTAAAAAAAAAGCCTTTGTTTGCTGGGCCAGACTAAAGGGAAGCTCAATTATATTAGCTTATTATTCATCATCTCATTTAAAACTATGTTGTAAAAGAGGTATTAAATGAAAAATGGAAGTTAAGGAAAAGATAAAAAATACATTCTCTACATCTCTTCATAGCTAGAGAAGTTCATGTAGGGGGGTGGGATCTTCCCATCCCTGTAACCTTGGCATTGTATGAGATCCATCAGATCAAAACCACTTTGGGAGTATATCGGATGGTTCAGAAAGACACTCCTAGAAGAAGATCACTATATTCCTTGAACAAATAACCAGATTGGTGGGCTAAATCTTTCCCTGGAAAAGTTAATCTTTGCACTGCTTTAAAAGTAGCCTTGATATTTGATGAACTTTTAGGCAGGTAAGGTGAATTACATCTGGGTGTCTAAAATTGAAATAGCTATTGTTAGGGTAATTGAACCTGGATTTTCTGCTATGCAATACAATTCCATGAAACATGAGTGCTTAAATGATTGCAGATCCTTTTATGAATAAGGGATTCCTGGAATACTCCAGCAGCAAAATCTATCTTGAAGTATTACATGTGGGCATAAAAATGTAGTTGTATTTTGTATTGTTACCAAGGAAGCAAATAGAATATTGTCTGAAACAAAATCTTAATGACATTTGATCTTTCTGCAAGAAAGTCTAACTGTATACTCCAAAATGGAATTGCTGTGTTGGAATGGTGAAGGCCCAGTGAAACTTAGAAGCTATTCATATTTGGTAAACAAGGCCCATCTCTAAATCTTAAATTGATCAATAAAATTTTCATGGATATCCAATTCAGATTCTGTAATCAAATGTTTTAAGTGTATTTAAATGGATTTCATCTGCTTCATGGAATCAGCTCTGAATTTGGCCCATATTTAAGTGAAGAGTTAACCTTTCTATGTGTACTAATGAATCTTCTAATGCAGATGATGAAATTCTGTATAAAACCACAAGTGATGCAAACTTAATATGGAAGAACATAGCTATACTCCTGACTGTGATATTTTTATAATAAAACAAGCTAGAACCTACATTTTAGAATACTCCAGCCTTTTGGACCAGCTATTTTGCTCCTCAACCAAAATATGATTAAAAAAAAAAGTCAAAGCTCTGTGTTATCCTGCTGTCTGTGAACTCCATATATAGTCTGGTATCCATCCAGTAGTTCTTTGCAAAGCTTTGAACATTTGTGTGATTTGAATTTATAAATTGTGAGATTTTAAGCTTTTCCCAAATTGCTGACAATTCTGATTCACTTTCCAAAGAGCTACAGAAAATAAATGTGATTTTGGAGGCACAAAGAAGGAAAGAAACTAATTAATCTACATTCCACAGTAATTTTTTTTAAAGAACTGTCATGCTTAATTGCTTTAATTTTACTTGATATATTATGCTTCAGGTTTTCTATAATCACATGTAGGATGTCATACACTGCAGATTGTTTCCAACTGAAGTATGTGGGGACACAAATCTCCTAGGGGTTGTAATCAAATAGGAACTCTGCACCTTGAGGTCAATGCTTTGAATAATACTTACATGAATAATGACCAAAAGTTGTTTACATCTGGTGGCAGTCTGGGGACTTGCTTGAAAGTTTCAATCCAGTTCTTGTTACAAAGAATAGACCCTTTTTTTTTTTAATTTTAAATTAGGTGTCTTATTACAAATTCAGCTTTGAAACCACTAAATGAACAGAGTAACTGAATTTGTCTTTCTTTCTGGTTTTTTGCACATTGGAGTAAAGCTCTGCAAAGTCATGTTACTGTAAGTGTTGAAACTTTGGAGCAAAGGGACAGAGACAAGTTTTTGAATGTTGTCAGTCTGCCGCTTTTCACCAGCAAACGTGTGGGGAACAAAACATTCTTTTAACTTCTTGACTATGTAGAAACTAATATTAGTGGGTGGGGTTTTTTTTGTTTTTTTTTTTTTTTTTTTAAATCTTTTTCCTTTTCTTTTTTTCTCCAGGAATAAGCATATCTGTGGTGGTACTTTGATAAAAGAAGAGTGGGTTCTTACAGCAAGGCAGTGTTTCCCTTCTCGGTACAGTAGTCTGGAACTTTGCAATATTAAAATCCATCTATTTTCAGGAACTTATCAGCATAATGCTTCTTCAACTTGAATGCAGCAGTTTTTCCTCCTGTTTGGCTTTAACACTGCTTTTCTGATATAAAAGGCCTGTGGGACCTTGCTATTTTCTGTTTTTATTGCTGTAAATCTAAATAGCCCTGGCTATTTTACATAGAAGCATAAATAGATTTTCCAAGTGTCATGGTTAGGCAATTGCCTTTTTATGAGAATAATCTCATGCTTCTGCTTAACTGGACAAAATAAAATAGAAAACTTGGGTAAATCTAAAAAAGTTCAAAGGTTCATACTGTCCAAGGATCTGAATGTTTGGATACTGTTATGAAAAATAAAAAAAATTGATTTTAGTAACAGTTAAAGATAAAATTATGTAATGGCTTCAGGCCAAAACCTTACATCCAAGCATGTTGATTTTGGAATAGCAGTTGGCAGCATGAAGCCATTTCTGCTAAGGAGCATTAGTTAAGATCTTCCAGCATAATCATATTAAGCAGAGTTTTTTAATTATTTTATTATACAGTCAGCAAAATCACAACCGACTTTGCCTCATTTAGGTACAAAGATTTGAAAGACTACAAAGCCTGGCTTGGAGTCCATAATATCAAAGGAAAGGGAGAGGAGAAGCGCAAACAAGTCCGGAACATCTCCCAGTTGGTATATGGCCCTGCAGGGTCAGATTTGGTCTTGCTGAAACTTAGCAGGTTAGTAGCTGTTATAGTGAATTTACATCTCTTTGCTTTCATCTGCTGGGTGAGATTCTTCCTAAATGAGATTTGCAAGTTCATTGCTCTGCTATCTCCAGTACTACAGTTGCTGTCTCCATGGGGTAAACTTCCAACTGAAAGAAATTTTATTTGATACATGCAGAAATGCAGGTCCATCAATGTTACTCAGAAAACAGATGTCACTCCTGTGAAATCATACCTACATTATTCTTCCTGTTAACCATGTTTAGGTTTCTTGGGAGATTTAAAGAAAACCCACTAAGTACCCACATGGACTAGTATATGGTTTTAATTTATAGAATAAGCACCAGATTGTAGCTGAGATCCTTGCGTATATACAAGCTTTCAAAATTTCTCCATATGAATAAACCTATATATCCAAATGAAATGCCATCACTACTTACTTTTAAGATTAAAACCCAAGTTAAATTGCATAAAAGTGGTGACAGCATCTCAAGAATTTTTTGACAGTTGGCAGCTGTAGTACAAAAAATAGGTAGAAGAATCCATCATATTCTTCAGAAACAGAAAATGAAAGGAAAAGAATTGGCACAGTTTTAAATTGCTGTGGTCTATAATAGACTTAATGTAATTTTAAAAACACAGTTCAGAAGGTTAAGTAAAATCCATTATATCTATTTATTTTTTTCTTCATTTCAGACCTGCTATATTGACAAATTTTGTAGAAATAATCCGCTTGCCCATTTCTGGATGTACCATTCCAGAGAAGACCAGCTGCAGTGTTTATGGATGGGGATACACTGGATGTAAGAAACTATTTTTAAAAACTAAATGAATACGTTGACAACTTACTTCCTCTTGTCATTATAGGTGAGGCTGCGGGTATGGCCTGATGCCACGGTTGTCCAACACTTCTTGTTAAAAAATAGAGTTTGTTTTTTTTTTTTTTAGTTTGTAAATCTCTGAGCCTTTTATCCAACTTAATTTAACATGAAATATTTTCCACTAGTCTCTCCTTTTTTGTTGTTATTTCAGGGACAGGCAAAATGATTCAAACATTTTGAGGAGTGAATTAGAGAAAAATACTATTCCACGTGTTAAAAAAAATAGCAAAATTTCTCTGCAGAATATTAACAGGGTTTTTTGACAAATCTTTGTTCATCTACTTGAGCAGTCTCTTTCTGTAATACAAAGCAGGGCCCTGTGGAAAAACTAATACAGAAACATGTAATCAAAGACTTTATTAATATACACAATAACAGCGAAATAGGGACACACAGGCAACCCTAAGTCTGGCATTTCCTAACTTTTGAGTACTTGACTTTGCAACCTTTCTAATGTTTATTAAACACAGTTTTGTGTGAAGAAAATACAAATATGTGGGAGAACAGACATTTATTTAGTCTAGTAAATGCTATATCTGGCTAATTATGTGTTGATAAAAAGTTAATAGCTGCCAGTTGACAATAATTACTCCAATATTTACTGTGCTCAAATGTTGTTTTGCCACAGACCCTGAGTAAGCAGCAGCAATATACTCACACTGTCCTGGAAGCAGAGCAGAAGCTAGGCTGGAATTCTGAGGCTGTCTTCCTCGTAGCCACTACTCTGCCATTTCTTTGTGGGTGGCAATTAATCTGTACCAGCCCTCTCCCAAATGACTGCCTTTGATGTTCCCAGCATGTCCATATTAGCCATCCTCTGGGGGCATCGGCTGTCTGGGGGACAGGGACATCAGGCTGGAGCACAGCACAGCATCACAGGAAAGCTTAGCTAAAGACAACTGATAAGGAATTTGCAATGTTGTGGAGTTATGTAATACAGTAAATACATAACATCTGTCATCCAAGGACTTTGTACTATATTTTTTGCACTACTTTATATAATCCTCACAGTATCCCGGTCAGGGAACGAAGAAGTGTTACATCCTTTTTTTTTTAAGAAAACAGGATTATAAGTCAGTGGAGGGCAAGCTTGGCATTTTCTTTTGATGGCTGTGCAGAGAATGGGCAGGTCCAGACCCTTTATTTATCTTTGCAGCTTGTACAGGCTCGTCTTTCGACATGTAGAACAAGAGTAAGCTCCACAGGGCTCCTGCTTCCTGACCTTCACACTGATGAATGGAGATTGCACAAGGCTGTGGCTCTGCCCTTGCAGGCACAAAGTCATTCAGGGTAGCTGAGCCAGCACAGATTGAGAAAAACTCCACTCTGCTACAGTATTTTTCAAGTCACACATCCTTCCCTAGGCCATGGCAGGCACTGTTACACATTAACTCATGTTTAAGGCAGGGAGCAGAATCCTCCCTCCACTGATGGGAGCGATAACATTTTCAGGCTCTTTTTCTGATTTCTTTGATGCCTGGGCAATCTGGTGGTGAGCTGTAGAGTAAGCCCAGTTACAAAGCCCTTTATTCTAGTACTAAAAAACTTATCCAGATATTCTCAGAGAACTAAACAGACATGAAAACAAAACAAATGTCTGGCAAATCCCATTTTCAGAAAATATAAGAAATCCAAAATACAAAAGCATGATAACAGTAGGGATAGACAAAAACGTGAGTTTTGGAGAGAAAGTAAAATAACTGAAATTACATTAATAAGTTTATGTGGACTGTATCTGGACTTTCTTTCCCCTAAAATACAATAAAATTTTTATTTTCTTTTCAATTGTAGTAGTTAACTATGATGGCCTTCTCCAAGTAGCAAACCTGTTTATTTTGGGAAATGAGAAATGCAACCAATATCTCAAAGGAAAGATTACTGTGAATGAGTCTGAAATCTGTGCTGTGGCTGAAACCGTAGGTGCTGGGCCTTGCGAGGTAAATATCGCATTTCCTAATACATTTTTAGGACCCTGACTATTTCTTTCCCAAAAATAAATTACTGGAGGTTTTTAAACTTATTCTCATTGCACTAAACTTTTGCATTGGAAAATTATTTGTGTTACAAGTCTTCTATTTTATGTCAGAGTGCAGAAATTACTTTGATTTCACTACCACACCATTGAAAGACTTACAGGAATCTTATATCTACTCATACACTATAACACTTCACTAGACTGAGGCAAACTTGTGCTCTGTATACTAAGGACAAAGGTGCCTCTGTGGTAGCAATGGCTGTATGTTTTGATTGAGTAGAAATCAAAGGCTGGAGCAAATTTACATCCTTATTTAGATGAGGCATTGCATGCAAAATAACAGTCGGTACTCAACAGAGGTGATAAAGTAATGAGGGAAGGAGAAAAATCCAGAAATGTACTGAGGTTTTTATGAGTCAGAAGGCTGGAGTATTTTGCTCTCCTGAGCCTGAGCAACATATTGATGAGGACAGGAGAACCACTTCAGTGATCAAGTAGTTTGGTACAGTTGTTTTGCTTAGCACTACTTTTGATGATGGAGAAAAGACATCTGAGGAGAAAAGCTGTAAATAATTTATTACAGGAAGATATAATATTTTTTTGATGGAAAATCTGACTGTGGATATCTAGAAGGAGGGAAGTCATGAACATTATTAAGTATTTATTATCTGAAATAGGATTGTTGATTTCCTAATACCAATGTTAACTGTGTAATAAAATTTTCCCTACCCAAGGGTACTACCAAACCATGGGGAAAAGAGGTCATCTTCATAAAGCTGAGGCCTCTTCCATTTGTTATTAATAATCTATGGGATCATTTTTTGTTGCAAAGTATTTCTTCAAAATAAAATGTTTAATTGTAAATGAGGTCTTAGACTTGTCAAGACTTATAAATGAAACATCTGCATGGGAGTCTGCTGGGGATCCTGCACTTGGTTTTCCCCTGCAAGAAGAAATGGAATGAATTAATATTAGCAATCAGTCTTAATCACTGAGCAGTTTCCTGCTCCCTAAGTTCTCCTTTGAAGCTACTTTGCTCAGCAGAGAACAGGCAGAGGAACAAAATCAGATTGGCAGGTGAAACTCCACTCCTGAAAGTGTTTTATGAGCAGCTCTGATGGCTCTGACATAGTTCATTGTTCATGTGGGAACTAGTCTGCCGTCAGTCAGAAAAAATCCCAAACCAAATAAAGGTCAAGCATTGTTGTTTCTCTGGTGATCCAGAGAGAATGCAATGCTAATTGTCAGCTTTCCTTTTTTTAAACAATAACTCACTGTCTGATATGAGAATTTACTGTCTAGTTTTGCAGCAAGTTTGCAGGGTCCAGTCTACCTTTAGCCTGGGTAGAAACTGCAGCATCTATGTTCAAGTCCCAGATCTATGTGATTGTATCTAACTCTGATTTCAGTGGGTCAAACTCCACATTTTCATGGAATGCATAAACTAGTGTATAGGTGTCTCATTCATTCAAAATAACAAAAAAATATCAGTTTAACAAGTTAAGTATCAAAATAATGCTTAAAAAAATACTACCTTTTTATTATGTTTGTTATTTTCTCTGCCTATCAGTACATACTGATTCTCATCCTAGGGCCTTGCAAGATGATTAACTGAAAGAAAGACACTAACCTGACTTTGTCAATAGTGTTTGATGCAAAGCCTGTCATCATAACAAAGATGTTTATCTGTCAACTCACATTCTGCTCATCTGGTTTATACTCACATAAAAAATATTAGGCTTTCAGGTAGCTGAAAGAGGTGAATAAAATCCGGTGGTCTGAAGTCATTAGAATGGCATGTAAAGATGGATCACAGAGCTTAATTTGCACAGAAGGAACAAAAGGTCAGAGGCCAACTCTGACATTGTTTGTCATAAGTTCTGGTTATGAAAAACAAAGATATTGGAAGTTGGTTTATGTCCTATGGCAAGAACACTATTGCCTAGTGCATCTTGTCATCCCCAAAAGAAAACATTCAGCAGCAGACAGGTGGGAGCTGTGTCTTGGAGCATTTTGAGAAGTGACACTCATGCTGTTTATTTTTTTCCTAGCGAGATTATGGTGGTCCTTTGGTTTGTGAACAAAACAGGCTGAAGATAGTAATTGGTGTCATTGTTCCTGGCCGTGGATGTGCCATTCGAAATCGTCCTGGGATTTTCGTTCGGGTCTCATATTATTCCCGGTGGATTCACAAGATTATGATGACCTACAGAAAACCCTGAAAAAGTCAACCATTCCTGTTGAAAGATTCTGGACAGCCTGTAATTAATGTGTAATGTAAAGAACAACAATTTTTTAAGTACTTGATAGTCAAGTTTGTAGAGCTTCTTTTAATATTTATGGGTGTTTTTGGTGTTCTTGTCTATCAGTGTTGTTTTATAAATGTTGGAGTGACTTACAGTATATGCAAGTATGGTGACATATCTCCTGAAGATACTTGAATGGATAAACAATTTTGCAAAGACATTACTGGATGATAAATGGTTTTGTAGAAATAGATCATATGACCTCCTTGATGCTGCTCTTCAGATTATCTTAGGAGAAACAAGTTATAGTTCTACTTTTCACATCTTATTCTTTCTATGAGCCATATATTTCTCTTCGTATATAACAAAAGCCCTACTGAGAAATATATGCATCTGTCCAGGACAGCATTTATGACCATATTTCTCTGTCCCCCTTATAAGAGGTCAAAGATTTCAGTACTTTATAAAAAAATAATATCTTTAGTAAGCAATCTTTTCATTATTGATGGATTTTGACAAGCCTGCCATAAGCAGAGTTCTCATAGAAGTCACTACCACTTTCTTTTGCACAATGCTTACAGACTCTACTTCTGCACTTGGTTCCTTCACTGTATATATGGTCCTCTAACAGATATCTCAAACTCCATTTTGATTAGCAAACTCTTGATCATTCCTTTATAATCTGATCCAGAAATAACTGTGGATTTGCAATGCTAAAGACATCATCTCATATAGTTTGAAAAAGTAATCCTGAGTAGCTATTGGAAGACTTTGGGCATTGAAAGAAATTTAAATCAAATATGCCCAAATCTTTCTAAATAGACAAGAATTTAAAGTTTGGCTTGTTCTAGTTATTTCATGGAACTCTGCAATTACAGGAAGAAAAAGAACAGTTGAATCCAGCACCTGGCTGAGAGACTTAAGACTGGGAAAAGTAAGTTATACACTAATAGTTCTTCAGAGACATGAGAACTTTAATAAAACCTTAACTAGATTTGGAAAAAAGTCTATCTTTTGTATAATTCATTTCAAGATAATAAAACAATTGCAGAGATTGATATGATCTTGTATTTAATATGGACAACATCACCAACAGTTTAGTTGCTTGTTTCCTGTCTATATATGGGACAATCATTTTCCTTTATGCTGATAGCGAAAGGGAACACAAAATCATCATCTATGAAAAGTGCTTGTTCTTCTGTAGGCATTTAGTTTTATGTCTGGAAATTTTGTACAAATATGTTGGCACAGGTGGCACTGATTACCCTTTAATTTCTGGAAAATTGATCCAACATATATCCAATGTTAGTTTTACTACTGTACATGTAATGGCATAAATAATGGCACTGTTGCTTCACTTGTGACTGTGTAAATTGTAAATGTTTCCAGTAGTGTTTGGTCTGTGTATCATATGTAACTGCAGAGCCACAAGTCTGACCCCGTGGTATGGATATACAAAAGAACATTTCATGCAGAAGATGCAGGGTTGAATTCTGCCCCGTCAGAAAGCAACCACTTCAGGGGAGATGTCTTGGGAGACAGGCCTCATCTTGGCTCACCAAATTTTCTTCAGCAGTGCACTTTGACTTCAGTGGGACTCAGTATGCTTACATTGGTGAGCTGGGATTAGTTTCAGCCCGTGTTTAAGAGGCTTGGCTTGCTGAGATTTGTGTCACATATCCAGCAGATTCTACTGGCACATAGGAAGAAGTGTTTCAGCAAACAGAGCTTCTGAAGTTCCTCCTGATGTAAATAATCTCTTTGGACAAGATGTGACTTCTCTGTACAGCAGATTCAAGGTTGTGGATGCTATGCAGACAGTCTGTCTCAATCTATTCTGGTCACCTCTGAAGGCTTCATGCTCCCTTTAGCCTCTCTTACTTACCAGGCCTAAGAGGGCAGGATTTAGCCTGTTGTATTTACACTTAATTATTGTCATGTAGGTGAAGAGTGTATTCGTACTAAGTATATACTGACCATATCTTATTGAAAGGATTACATTTTTAAGAAAGACTTTTAAAAAACTCCAAGTGAGTTTTGTTCTCAGCCACAAGTAGAATGTGGATAAAATATACAATTCCATGTTCACTCTTTGTATTCGAAGAACTGTCATGTGCTCACTGTATTATATTTGCAGGCATTTTGTTATGTCTATCTAAAAAATTTGAATCTTAAAATATTTTAGTTATAAGCTTCTGCTGTGCAGAAGACTGTGATTTTTATATATATATATATATATCTCACACACACACACACACACATATATATATATATGATAAAAAATACTGTTTTTTCTTAGACAATGTGTAAGGATTTTTACCTGTTTGTTCTGGGCAGTGCCTCAGTAAAATAAATTGTGCAGAGTTGATGCTCCAGAACTTAACAAGTTTGTATGCACTTGCTTACCAGGTACTTTTGCTCTCCCTATCTCAGAATGGAGGGCACCTGAGATCCTGAAGAGCAAGGGAAGAGAAGAATAATGATATGTGGTAATGAATCTGTACTTCATTTATTCCTGTGAATATTTCTTGTTGGTACCAATGGTACCGTACCAGGCAACTGTTATAACTACAGGACTCTCTTAAGAAAGGACACTCTATAGATATTTTTTCACTGTTCTAATATTTTTCTCTCTGTTATAACAAGGGGACCTGATCTAGTGCCCATCTAAATGCTGAAAAACCCCTTACTAACTTCAGTAGGATCTGAACTTTACTTCATAGATGTGATTTTAATCAGATTAGAATAAAGAATACAGAACTTAAATTCTTGTTTAAGGACATTCTTAAACTCCATTTAATTTCATTCTCATTCTCTTTGCTGTAACTAATCCTCAATCTCTGAAAGGTGTAATTTTTGGATATAAAATTATGGAATGAAAACCTAAAAGGTGATTTTGTGCAACTGAAGTTAGTTTAACTTAATTACTATTTTCTTTGGGCATTGGATCTGGCTAATGCTTCTTCATTTTATTAAAGAAAACATTTTTCCCTTAAAAACATTTTCCCCCTATCTCTTTTTCTCTCATAAACCTCATGACCCTCAGAAAAATGTAGCTCTCATTGGAAATGTACTGGTCTAAATTTTTGCTGCTACTGCCGAAATCTTCTTCTCTCATTTAAGATTAAAATTCTCTGAGGCATTCTGCAATCCCTTCCTGCAGGTAATGCCAATGTACTTGACAGAGCTACTCTACTTGAGTTAGAGCTTTTCAGATGAGGCTCCAAATATATTTCTGGGGGTCAAAATCTACTCAGGCAAAATGTCCCTTGAATTCAGTGAATGAGATTGTCAAACGAGCAGGGCCTAAGAGTTGTTCAGTGCTTTTCCACATGGATCCTTGTTCACATTCTCAGCTCCAAGGTAACCTCAGCAGGAGTTGAGGCTTTGTCATCATCCTTCTGTAAAGCTGGTTGAAAACCAGTTGACCCCCATGGAGACTGTAGGAAGCCTATTAGGTTGGTTGTTTAGCTTTGTCTCCTTACCAATTATTTTTTTCCTCCCTCATGTGCACTGGTATATTACTGTTTTTGAATGTTGGGGCTGCTGGCAGGAACTGACATGGCTTTTCACCCTAAAGTTTCCTGGTGTTCCTTTTAAAACATACCCTTGGGCATTTATGTATAGCATTTTCTTGCATGGGATCTAACTTCAGGGAGCTGCCTGTGGAGTTCAGTGTATGATAAAAGTATTTTTTCTTATTTAAGAGGGAAAAATAATGCTCCCATTAAGTACAACTTGATGAATGCCTAATGAAAAGGGAACACTCTGGTTATAACTTGTAATACAAATCTTCTGTAATTAACATGTTCATTAGTTAATAAAGTTGGTATTTTTGTAACCTTGTTTACTCTTATTATTCTTAATAAAGTATTTTATAAAAAACAAAAAAACTTAATTAGCATTACATTTCTTATTGAAAGAACAAGGCCACAACCCCACTGCAAGTTTCCCAGTTCCAATTCCAGTGAGGGATTTTAATGTGCAAAGTAAGGAGGACTGGTGCTGTAAAGATCCTCTTGTGTCCAATTGCAGAATTGAAAATAAAATGAAAGAAAGAGCCAAATACATGGTGATCTTGTTGAGAGTTCCCAAGACCTGAATTATTTCTGCATTGAGAAGGATCTAAGCATTTTACAGTGAGAGTATATTTGCAGTGGAAAGGATGTTCTCAAGCTAAACATAAATATTTTCCTAGAGTTTTTAGTTCCTAGCAATTTTATTATGAGAGGCTTGGAATTTTACTTATTAGAATAAATACACTTTACACTTCTGGAAAGGGCTCCCCTCTCAATATCACTTTGTACTGAGGTACCAAAAATGATGCAAAGGGGAGCAATAACTTGCAACAAACCTTGGTGCTGCTGCTGCTTAATACCACAACCAGCCAGCAGCTACCAGAAAAGGAAATAAGCAACACCCTTACTAACCCCACCAGATCAGTGCCAAGTATTGTCAAACTCCTGTAATATCAGAGAATTCTGATGAGTTCTAATAAGGGACAGTAAGCTCATTACCTCTTTGTCATTATCCAGCTGAAATTTCAAAGTTGTAAACATTTGTGGTTACATTGTGATTTCGATGATTTAAATATATATTTGCTCCAGCTATATCCACAGTGAATCATTTTTCAAATAGACTCATATGCAGACTGTTTGAAGTCTGATTCTGAGTTTTCCATCACTTTCTTTTTTGAGTTGTGCAACAAGGGAGTTTTCTAAGCAATCCATAAAATCAATGGTTTTTATCAGGAACTCCTGAAATCACTGGGAAGCTTGCAATAATTTCCACCATGCAGGAGTGCCTCCAAAGTTATAAAAAATCCATAAATAGTCCCTATGTCAAAACAATGCTTTGCTATAGTTTTACATTCAGTTTTCAGTATATTCAGGTGACCTGTGTGTCTTCTGGGAACCATGAGAATTAACTGCTTGTACAGCAATTTGCACCACAAAAGTCTCTAAGGGGATGTTACC